TTGATGGCACAGGCCATGAGTCGATATAGTAAATGCCTCAGAGACCACAGTGCGAACCCGCTGAAGAAGTTCCTGCGGTGCTTCCACAGCCTCTGGTACACCCTCTGGTCCAGAGCTGAGTGGCTCCAGCCTGCTCTCGGGCACCACAACCACACCCCGACACGGCAACGGGGAGGAAGCTGTAAGCTCGCTGTTAACGAACACGTTGCAATGGTCTGCCCGGAAACCCAATTCACGCGTTAAACGTAGCTTCAAAATTACTATGAAAACAGAGATTATAACAAGGACAGAGAATCCTCAAAAGTATTCTAAAACCACGTTACAGCTTGGAGCGACCGGAATACGGGAAAACTTACAGCATTCTTAAACAATTTCGAAACCCTTCCTCCTTCCCCACGCGACAGCCTCGCAGACGGATTAATCACTGCACTCACGCCCTGCAGTACTCAGGGTAACTGCCCTCCTTCAAACAAAGCAATATACTTCAACTTCGTAGGGCGAAAACAAGCCGACATCTGCAGGCGTTTGTGCACAGAGAGTAGCTGGGGCCCCTCGCTCCCCGCGAGCAGAAACACGGCGGAAGAAGGTGCTCCCCAGCGCTGCGCCCTTCTCCCCGCATGGAGTCCCCGCAGGAGCTCTGGAGTCACCCGGGGCTCTCTGCGTGCGCCCCAAGCGTGGCCTCACCCGAGGCAGCACCGACGGGAGCGCAGTGCGGCCGCTCCCCGCCCAGCCCCCGGGGCGCAGGACAAGCAAACCGAGGGACGGCGAAGGCACCAGCCGCGCGCTGCCTTCTGCCCGGCGGTACGGGAGGCATGGGGCTCCGCTTCCGCCCGCCGCGGCGGAGAGGCCCTTCGAGGGAACGCGATCTCCTCAGCCAGAACACTACATCCCCGACCCACCCACCTCTCCCCCTCACGGCCCTCAGCTGGAGCCCGCACCTCCCGCGCCCGAACAAAGCCCCGCGAAGGACTCCGCGCCGCCGTACGACTCTTCCGCCGAGCGTCCCCCACCGCCCCACCTGGAGCTAGGCTTGGCCGGCTCGGCCTCAGCGCCCTGGAACATGGTGGCACTCAGCACCTCCGCTCCGCAGCCCCGCTCCAACAGCGCCGCGGGGAGTCCGGCTGCCCCGCCTTGCCCGGCCATTGGCCGATTTAGCTGCCCATCATGACGAGCAGCCTATCGAACACAGCTCCCTCGCTCGAGATCCCGCCTGCTCGGCCAGGCTCGCAGAGGGAGGGAAGCTTAAAACTACTCGCGTCGGCGCTCATCCTAGATGCCTTCCATTGGCTGTTCTGCCCGTCCGTCAGAAGAAACTGCACAGCCATTGGCTGGAGGAAGGGCGGGGCGAACAGCGGGAGGGCATTTAAAGCGACGGGGTGGGGTCGGTGAACGGGCTGTAGTAGCAGAGGGGTAGAGCCGAGCCGAGCCGAGCCGAGCCGAGCCGAGCCTTGCTCTTACAGTCGAGACCTTATGTGAGGGTTTCACCTCGAAATGGCGATGCAGCGCAGAAAACAGAAGGAAGATCATCGTATGGAATAACCTCAGGGAGGACTTCGTAATCTGCTGCCCTACACAGCGTTTCCGAGTGCGGCGATGACCGAGCAGAAGCCCCGAGCCCCAAGCCCCGCGCGCCCCCGGCAGCCCCTCAGGCCCGGCAGAGTTGCAGCCCGGGAGATTCGAGCGGCTCCAGGGAGCGCGGGCCACCCGAGCAAGAGAATAGGATATGGGGCAGGAAGGGCGATGCAGCGCAGGCAGTTTGCTCAGTTTTCTGGTCGTTACAGTTGCTGAGAGAACTCAAATGTATGATGCCCACTCAGCAGAGAACTGAGTCCCCTAAACTCACCAAGAAAGATGCGGTGTCTCAGACTGAAGTCCCAAAAAAACATGCAAAAATCACATGCAACCGCCCAGGCTACAGCTGATATGCCTGAGCCTGTCAGTGGATTGTATCAGTGATGGGCAGATGCATCAGATGAGACCAGGTAGATGACCTGCCCAGCCTGGTAGCAGAGCTACAAGACAAACTAGAAAGGCTGAGAAGTGTTAGAAAATCAGAGAGGGACATAGACTAGTGGGGCCATGCTCTGGCCTCCCTAAGACAGGAGCATCAACAGAAAGGAGATCCTCCATCAATCCTGCAGCAAAGAGCAGGTACTAGTTGTGAAGTGAGAAGCAAGTGGAGGGCAATCCATACTCAGGGAAGCAAACAAAATTCTTCTTTGCCTACCTCACTTTCCCCTCACAATACCCTCACAGGCAAACTCAAGAAAAGTGGGTTGGATGAGTGGACAGTGGGATGGATTGAGAGCTGCCTGAGTGGCAGATCCCAGAGGCTCGTGATCAGTAGCACAGAGTAATGTTGGAGACCTGTCACTAGTGGTGTCCCCCAGCATTCCCTGTTGTATATCTCAACAGTATTGAGATCCCAGCTCAGTGTTGTATATATCGTTCATCAATGATTGGATAAAAGAGCAGATGAGTCCTCAGCAAGTTCACTGCTGATACAAAGGAGTGGCTGATGCTTCAGAAGGTTGTGCAGCCCTTCAGATGGACCTCAACAGCTTGGGGAGGTAGGTAGAGAAGAACCTTCTGAAATTCAGCAAGGGGAAATGCAGGTCCTGCGCCTGTGGAGGAACAGCCCTGGTCACCAGTACAGGCTGGGAGCCAAGCCACTGGACAGCAGTGCTGCAGAGTAGGACCTGGGTGTCCTGGTGCACAGCTCTGTCCCTGACCAGCTGTGTGCCTTGGAGCCAAGAAGGGTCATATTGTCCAGGCCTTAGAAAGAGTATTGCCAGCAGGTCGAGGGAGATGATCCTGTCCCTCAACTCAGCCCTGGTAAAACCACATTTGGAGCATTGTGTACATACTTGGGCCCCACAGTACAAGAGAGACATGGAGCGCCTGGAGCAGTTCTATCAGAGGGCTACTAAGTTGGTCAAGGGTCTGGAGAATCTCTCTTTTGAGGAAAGGCTGAGGGAGCTGGACCTGTTGAACCTTGAGAAGAGATGGCTGAGATGGGACCTCATTAATGTGTATGAATATCTAAAATGTGGATATTGAGAGGATGGACCAGGCTCTTCTCTCCGGTGTCAGCTAGTAAAACTAGAGGCAAAGGCAGCAATTGATGCCCAGGAAGTTCCATGCAAACATGAGGAAGAACTTCTTCACTGTGCAGTGACTGAGCACTGAACAGGGTGCCCAGAGAGGGTGTGGAGTCTCCCTCATTGGAGATATTCATTTGGATATTCATTTGGATTCATTGGAGGTATTCATTTGTCCTCATTTGGACACAGCCCTATGCCATGTGTTCTGCGATGACCCTGCTTGAGCAGGGAAATGGGATCAGATGAGCTACTATGCGCCCTTCCAGCATGATCAGTCCCGTGATTGTTGTGTCAGGTCCCTATGCCCCATTTGGCCTTGTCAGTGTGGACAGGGGTTTGCCAGCACAGTGTCGAGCAGAGTCTGGCTGCTGTGACCCACCCTGCTCCCTAGCAGGGCTGTCCGTGCCCGTGGTTTGCTCACAGCTCTGCCGCTGAAGCGTGGGATGACTGCCATAGGAAAGCCACCTGGACAACCTGCCCTGGGAGGAGATGGTGCAGCTGCACCTGCAGAGCCAGCATTTGCATGGCCTTTCTAACCATTTTTCATTGACTGTAACATTACAAGCTAACATTTTCAGCTGAAGGTTTTATTTCACAGTTCTATAGCTGTGATATGTCAGGAATTAAACTTAGAGGCATAAATTTAGCAGCATACTGCTGTTTTTGTTTTGAAGGACTGAAAAAACCAAATAAAATAAAGCTAACAAAAAAGCATGAAAAATATGTACCATCACTGCAGTATCTTGTTTTGCTAATAATTTTTCAGACTCATTCCTTTTGTCTTTACAGTCTTAAATTTTGGTCATTAAGGGCAAAATTAGCTAAATTGTGAGAGAAGATTCAGTAGCAGCTTTGACAGAAGGTGAAGAAGATTTAAAGGTCTTTTATGCTGACAAAGGCTCACAGCCAGTGGAGGGGAGAAGCTGCACAGAGAGAGCTCAAATTTGGTCACAGCCCAATTTTCTCAGTAAACAGGTGGGAGAGATAACTATGCACTTTTTAGATGGGAAGGAAGTATCAAAATAACACTAATAAAACTTACGTTGAGCTTTTTAGAACATTCTTAATTTCTGATTGATTATACATTTGCACTTTCTCAGAGCAACATTTAAACTGTCTTTTTGTTTGTCATAGAGATCAAAATCCTAAAAGTGTACAAAAAGGAGTTAGTTACTGACCTAGATGACAGGAACTTCAGGCCTTGAGTCCAACTTGACCAAAGCCGGGTGTGCTGGGTCAGCCCACCTTTCTATGGGCTTTAGTTAGTTTTGCCTTGGAAAGCTCTGGAGATAGACTATGCAACCCTATCAGGGCTCCCAGTTCTTGAGTGTCCTGGGGTGAAAAGGTGTTTCTGGTAGTGGCTGTATAAAACACGATGGCCTGAATACAACCTCCACAGCCGAATTTCTGCCTATCTGAAACTGCGAATGGAAAAAAAAAAACAAACCTCCAAGATATACACCACCATTTTTATTGTACCTTCTTGGTGGTGGAGGTTGGGATTTTTTTGGTGGTTTTCTTTTTTGTTATTCTCTCTTTCTCCACCTTGTTTCTGATGCCCATGGCCCAAGACAGGCCATTCATGATAACCAGCCCTCTGGTTTGCTACATTTCTGAAACTCACCATGAGCAGACACTACTGAGAATGGAAGCTATAAAGCAAAAACAACCCTACCAAAATTTTCTCTGATCATGGTGAGAATCATCAGAATTCTGGGATGGGAGATGCCAATGGAAGTTAGGCAACTGATTTCACTGCAATCAAATCACCCTGAAAGGCTTGGCCTTATGGACGAATCTTAACTCCCACGCCCACAAGGCCAAGATCGTGTAAATAAAGCTTAAATGAAAAAAATATGAGAGGACATGAACAGCAAGGAACACACTGGACACAAGTTAGACCAAGTATTAGTACGTATTTATGCACAAGAATAAAAACAGCTTTACAAGTTGAATTGGAAATTTAAACAGAAGAAGTTTAACAGCTTTTGTATATTATATTAAATAACCAAAACACCTTTTTCCAAAATTGATAAAGAATAAATAATATAATTTACAGTATGGTACAAAAAATAATCAGTAAGGACAGGCATTTTGCTTTATACATACACTATATAGGTATATTTATAATCTATAAAACAAATTCACATCTCAAACAAGCCAGAAACCTTAGATGATATGGCTTAACTATTATTAAAAGAAACAGCATTCTATTTTGCTGCCAGAACCATACGCTCTAAAGCAGTTATCATGTTTCAATAATTAATGATAACTTATTGCCGTAGTGCTTGCCAAGGTTTCACTTAGGTAACATTTACAACTTGCTGTGAAATTAACTGATTGAAAGGTTTGAAAAGGTTAAAAAAAAAGTGCAGAACTTGCCGTATAAATGCATCTGAAGTCTGAGCATAGAAAACAAAATGCAACTGAGTTTCCACTCTGGGATCTGCTGTCAATAAATGAGATGTCTTTATAGATTAGATTTGAATCAAGCCATTTAATTCAATTAAAAAATACAGAGGGTGTCAAAAAAAGGCTTAAGAATGCTATATAAAAAAAAAATTACTATTCCTATGCTTAGTAGATTAGGGATGCAGTATAAAATGGGTTGTGTGAGTGATCAGAATGCAACACCCTGTACAGATCTCTGTCAGTATGTGCACACACACCTGGGTGGATCCAACCTTGGGCTATGGTAGTGCTCTACACCCAGCCCATGGTGATGGGACACCCCATCTTCTGCCATTTATCTTGTCAGCTACTCAGAACTGCCTTATGGTCACTGAGAGGGAAAAGCCTAGAGCAGTTAATCCTAGACCTGGAGACTGTTAGTGTCCCTTAGTCCTCTCCAACAACTCATAGTGCCCCAGGAAGGTACTAACCTAATGAAATCACTTCTACCTCAGAAATGATACTGTGTGCACTTCAGTGTCACTTGCTTGGATGTCTGCTTAGCCTGGCATTGTCCCTCATATAGATTTTGTTACTGTTGTTGGGGAAGCTGAAATAATTACAATTGAAGAAGTTTTGAGTATTACCACCCTCCCTGCCGTCTGCGGGTGCACACGCACTTGGTGTGTGGGTGTGGGTGTGTGTATACAGCACCTCCTTAGCAGTCTCAGGACAAACTGATGATGACTACTACTGTAAAGTACATTCAACTGAAATCTAGAGCTGGTCTGATCAGAGATGTGTTTAAATGGCCTTTCACATAGTAGGGGTAACAAATACTGCATCAATTCAGAATTACACAATGATCTTAATTCTTCTTAAGTTCTTCCCTTTTCCTCAAAGGGCTTTATTCTTAAAAAGCAGTTTGCAATGCATTACATTTCTGAAATTGAATACTGCTTCATATTGCCAACTTTTAAGGGGCTGATGCCAAACACATTTCTAACCCAGCATTCTGAGTGCTGAACTGATTTCTGTAATTTATACTCTGTTATTACTGGATGGTTCAAGCCCACTTGCAAAGGTTCAGGGTATGAGAAGTTTTCTGATGTCATGGCATCATCAAAAATAGCCACTTGTGCTGCCTTCATTCTGCAGTTGGGTCCTTCCCCCTGGGTAGGCTGAGGCAAGGCAGCTGACAGCTCCTTGTATCGCAGGCAAAAAGCCTTCATGGTTCAGGATGAAGTGCTCTGCTCTCCACTCCTGCAGCAGGTACAGCACCACTGGTCTTTAGGCAACTTCAAAGCCAAACCCAGTGTCATATCCACTGTGTTACCAGCATCAGTAAGGAAGATGAAAAGTTTGTCAAGTTACAAATACACTGGAGACCCTCACATTACTCTTGCAATATTTAGAAATTTAAGAATGAGAGTTCAGATTTCTTTTTAGACAGTACTTGATTAGAATGTAACACATCTCCTCCTGCACGTTCTGTAATCCACAGCCATAGTAGGTGCCTTCTACTTTTGTCCTGCAAATCTGAAGGATTTCTGGAGACACAGCATACAGAATAGTCAACATTAGTAATGGAGGAACCCAAAACCAAGAGGGAACAATCTGGGAAAGTCCAAACCAAAACACAGCTAAATTATAAGTAAAACTGAAAAGTTTTAGTGGGCATGACTCTTGAGATTAATAGGTCTTTTCCATACCAAGGGGAATGCTCAGAACAAAACAAGCCCCAGCATTCATTTCTGTGACAGCCTTCAACTTTTCCTATTCCAGGTTTATGTGCTTTCCTGACAATTCTGTCAGAATTCTCAAACTAGGCTCTGTGTGCATCAGAAAACTTGTTCAATTTTCTCCTAATGACAGAAAACACAAGGCCAACTCCATAGAAGCTAAAAATCATCTGCCTAAAGCAGAGTGAAGGGACTGGGTGAACAGCAAACAGAGTCAGTGCCTTGTGAGCAAGTTACAATAAACTCCCAGTCAAAGAAATGCCTCCAGTGAGTAGCTAAAGGCAGGCCAAACTACATCCACCAAGTATAGTGCAAGTTGGGAAATGAATCTATGATAATGGCCTACAGGATGGAGGAGGTTTGTTTATTCATTATTAATACAAAGTTGAGGTGCATATAGGAGCAGCCCCTTGGAAAAGTTCAGAGCTACTCACACCAGACAAGGAGCATCCTCTAACTGGAGAAGCAGATGAGTGCTTACAAAAGGGGCACAACATGGGTATTCTTGCTCAGGGGGGAGGGGAGAGGGGAGAGGAAGAGGAAGAGGAGTCTCCTTAGTTATAAAGCTAGAATTGACGGAGAACTAGCTCCCCAGAAATTACCTATGGATTAACTATTAACTTGCTATCCTGTTGAACCCACTGGAATCAGTATCTGTGTTTTTCCTGCAGTAAAATGTAACAATAAATGCACAGAGATTTCAGAGAGGGAATGCCAGACCCACTGATGCCTGGGAGTGACTGTTATGAAGAATAATGGTGAGGTACTACAGAGCACCCAGAGTTCACAGGAAAAAGAGGAAGTAGGGAAGGACTAAGGGATTAAGCTAGGACTTGACACTTCTCGTCATAACACAAAACCAATCTCAACTGCTTTAGCATTAACCTAGTATTTGTTCCTACACATTACAATATTCTTTCCTATTTCCTCTCCCAGATAAATCCTCAGTTTTTGTGAAGATGACAATATTTACATGTTTCCAGCAAAGCCAAGACTAATTATGACACAGTTTTCCTAGTGTAAGCTCTTTTGCCATGTTTCCAGACCTAACAAGCAAGTGTTCTTCAGGGAGAGCAATAAAGCACTCTCCCACTCACAGGGTGAACTGTGCAATGTGCTGAAGAATCACAAAGGTTAGGAATATGAGTGCAGTCAGGGTGATGACGATGACAATTGTGATGTGATGGGGTTTCAAAGTAGAGGATCCAAGAAGCATGGGAGGAGGTCAGATCAGAGCTCCCCTACCAAACAAGCAAGCAGGTGTGAGCCCTGCTGGAATGGTCAAAGAGCCAAAGGAACAGAGTGGTCTGTAAGAACACAGCATCAAGGAGTGGCAGTGCCCTGGACAGAGTGCAAGAACTTCAGTTTGACTGAATGGTAAGAAGACTGCCAACTAGGATGTGTCAAGATACACAATGGTTCCCCTACCCACACCTACCCTTCATCCTCCACAACTTTCACAGGGATCAGAAAGTATGGTATTTTGATCACTACGCAAACAATAATTAATAAACAGGAGCTTGTGGCAATCCCATCCCTACTTGAGCTGCTTGCTTAGGCTATTCCAAAGTACAAGTCCAGGACTGTCCCACAAACCTGCAATCTTACATCGCTGATGCAGGGACGCACTATCCTCTGTAATGTTATTCCATGTTCTGTTGTTGCCAGCATATTGCACATTCCAGGACTTGCAAGTATTTCTTGAGACCTTTGAAACCAATGCTTCTCTGTTAGAAAGAAGCACACAGGACAGGGATAACTCAGACTCAGCTGCTGCCCTCATCAAGTTCCAGCTTTGCAAGCTCCAACTTAGCTGAACAGTCTGCACCAGCCTGCTGGTCATTCCCTTACTGTGACAGATCCCCAGCCGGGGGACCACCACCTCCTCCATCGAACAGGATCTCCCTGCGAGTCGGCTCAGGTATTGACAGTTCCTGGGCAAGGTCGTTAAACCGAGATATGTAATCTATGCTGTTCTCATTCATCATGCAAGCCAGCTGGGAATCCACCACCTGGAAGAGACAAAGGAGAGAAGAGATCAGCTACATGTCAGTGGCAATTTCATGGAATAACTGAGGTTGGAAGGGACATCTTGACAGCATTTTATCCAGCCATCTCACTTGAGTAGGGTCAGCTTAGAACAGGCCGCCCTGGACCTTGGCAGGTGTTGAATCATCCCCATGCACAGACATTCCAGAACTCTCTGGGTACCCTGTTTCCATGCCTGATTACCTCAAAATAGATCTCTTGTCTTCAGGTGGAATTTATTGTGTTTCAAATTTTGCTTGCAGCCTCTCATCCCGAGAAGAGTCTGGGTCCCTCAGCTTCCTTCCCAGCCTCCCCTCATATGAAAGAGACACTTTATCTCACTTGACCTGAGTTAGAGAACAGCTCTTCTCATCCACAACTAAATGGAAGCTTCTAAAAAACCTAACCACCTATAGTCTCAATGGGTCTTACCTGCTCCAATTTAGCATTAAGGTGCACAGGTAGATGATCTAAAGATATTACCTCTACCACAAGAGCTGCTCTCCTGTGCATAACATGGAGGCTTACTCCATTTTCTTCTGAAGGGAGTTGGTAATACTGAAGGCTGCAATGTCACTTCAAAACCATGCAAATACATTATCATATATTTCTTTAATTAGAACACACCTTGACAACTTCTTCCCACCAAGCAAACAATCTTCATATTTATGCCAGAAGTGAATCTGTATTTCAGGTCTGAAGCTGCCAAGGTCACACTAAATCAACATGAGCTTGCTGCAGCTCCCAGTTACGTGGTCTGTACAGAACCATCTCATCCAAATCCAAAGGGTAATAGAGAAATGACATATTCCTCCCATAAGGGAAAGTCCCCAAGAAATTACAAGTTATGTGATGTTGTACTGAGTTTAATAACTAAACTGTGGGATAACTGAGACTGGAAGGGATCTGAACAGGTCTCTAATTCAACCACCTGCTCAAATCAGGTTCACCTATAAGGACAGACCAGCTCACTTGGAGTTTTATTGATGTGAGCCCTGGAAAGCTCTGAAGACAGTCACTGCATAACATCTCTGGGCAACTTGTTTCCCTGCCTGCCTATCGTCAAAGTGAAGTTTTTCTATAGATAAAACAGAACCTCTCTCAGTTCAGCTTTTGCTTGTTTCTCCCACCTCCCATCACCATTCTGCAAAGGGCTTGCTACATCTTGCCAATGACCCCACTGCAGGCATTGGCAGGCAGCAGGGTCCTTCCCACCCTGAAACCTTTTCTAGGCTGAACAAGTCTAGACATCACCCCTTCTTCACTGCCTGATTCTCCTGGTAAACCTCAGCTGAACTTGCTCTGGTTAATCTCTCTCTCCTATATATTGGGTATTCAACTGGTGACAATATTCTAGGCATGGTCTCACAGCAGGTAGACACTACTATTCTACAGAGTAGAGCACATTAATAATAATTTTGTTCAATATCCTGGCCATGCTCCTGTTAAAAACAGCTCATGGTATCATTGGTCACCTTTGGTTCCACACCTTTGGATCCACCCTGGATCATGCTCAGCTTGTGTCCATCGCCATATCCAGGTACAGCAGAGCTGCTTCCCAGACAGCCAGTCCCCAGCTGATGCTGCTGTGGGGTTATTCCTTAGTCCCTTCCTAGGGTGGACTTTGCGTTTTCCTTGCTAAGCTGCATAATGTTCCTGCAGCTCATTCTTCCCATCTGTCCCTCTGAAAGGGTGTGTGCCACAGCCTTAAAAACTGCTGGGCTCCATTCTACCCCTTCAGAAGAGTTCAAAACAAAGGGATACCTCAGCCAACAGAGACGAGTAATTCAGCACCACAGAACCTTCTGCCATCCTCTCAGATGACTTGCTATTAGCCATGTCCTACTTCTTCCTTCTGGACCTATTTGTTTTTTCCTACTGGGCTTCCAACTGTATTGTACCTGCATCACTATTAAGCTTGTTCTTATCTTTAGCACTTTCAGTTCTTGCTCTACAAAGGAGGACACACACAACAGAATGATTGAATCCTTCTCTGTCAGAACAAAGGTATATCCAACAGGTGAATATGACCTCCCTCAGCAAAAAGAACCTGAGCTGAAGGCACTCACAGCAGCTTCTCACACCAGCTCTGGTGTAGGGTAATTACCCTCAGATAATTTTACATCTTTCTGTTATGACTGTAATTCTTCTCTACTGAGCTAAAGTGCAGGTGTCAAAGCACCTCTACATTTGAAGTATCTCAAGGTCTGAGGGACAGTACCCAGTAACTGTAACTTCACTGCAAGAGGAAGCAGACTCTGAGTGTAGTTTGCTGACATACCTCTGCCACGTCTGCCAGGGACCGCGACACAAAGGAGTCCCGTGAGTTTCCATCCAGCAGGCTGGGTCCCAGTAAGGAGGTGCCACTGGTGTTCCCAGCTGGAGTTGGTAACATTTTTCGTCCTTTCTCAGGGGAGATGAAACTTGCTACAAAGAAAAGGCACATCACTAAGTCACTGCACTGAGTTTTCTTAACTGGGAACATAAAAAAGAAGGGCAAGAAAATTCAAAATGGAGGACAGGTATCAATTTCTTCCATCTTTTAAAAATTATGTGTTGCCAGCATCGATACCACCACCACACTGCTAAGAGTAAGGAGACTTATTACACTGGCCCCACAAATTATTAATTAAAAAAAACTCTCAACAACTAAACCTCAACCAAACCCAGTGAGTGACCTCATGTCTTTGAGATAGTACTTATCAAGCACACAAAACAATCTGTTTTTTCACCAGCAGAGCCAAAGACATCTGTTCATTTTGGCACAACAGTCGAAATGTCTCACCCTAACTGATGAGTCAGGCTCCAAACAGACTACAAGGAACTGCCAAGGAATTACTTGTCTCAAGCTACGGGCCCCAGTCTAGCAACAGGATCTTTTCAGGAACAGACTTGTAAAGGGAGAGAAAATGTAGGCAACACTGTGGAAATGAAAGCAAAAATTCTACAAATGTCCTACCGGGTTTACAATTTTTCAAAGGATTCACTTCTGATAAACAATGCTGGGGGTTTTTTTGTTAACAGGAAAGAAAACACTTTCTGGTTGCACTTCTCTGCATCTGGACACTTACAGAACAAGCTGCTGAGGGAGGAGTCTGTGGAGTCATTGGGGTACCACTGGGGATCATGGGTGGGAGACGCAATCCAGTTCTGCTGAGGACTACTGGATGGGGATGGAAGACTTTTGGAGCTGTCACTGCCATTCAGCTTTGCAGGAGAGAGAGAAACACCTTCACCTGTAGGCCGATGTCAGGGATCACGAATTCAGTCAATAAGGTAAAGTTACAGGACACTGCAACAATTTTTGTTTAGAAAGGAAAAAAACCCCAAACAATAACAATAACCCCCCCGCCCCATATTTGCTAGAAAATAAAGGACAGGCACAGAATTTTATTTCCAACAGATGTTTGGAAACAAACAAACAAACAAAAAACAAACCCCCAAAAACCTCATAACCCAAGAACTGCTTCCTGGAAAAGTTTCTGCTGCTATGTAAGATGTCAGGGATTTTTTTAAAGTTGATAGGCAGACCTTAGCTAGTCTTAGACTTACTGTATTGGCCAGAGCTAATGGCTATTTCAATGATGGAATCACTGATCTGAGTGGCAGGTTCGCCTTGGGAAAGCACATCTTCAGGTGGTCCAGGCAGGGAAATATCCAGGAGAGCAGAAACATTGGGAGGAGAGAGCCGAGTACTGGAAGCTTCTGATGAGGGAAGTGGAGGGGTGGACAGACCATTCTGGACAGAAGTCTTGGCCAGCTCTGGCAGAGAAAGAACTGATGTACTCTGTTAAAAAAACAGAATTAAACGTTCATAAATTTCTTAAGAACTCGGAAAACTAAAAAGCAACATTTTGGCTCTTGAGTATCAGATTAAAACCAGACTTCTAAGGGAAAAAATCCAGTAGATATTATGCCTAAATTAGAGGAATATACTATTTATATAATAAATCTGTATTATTTTAATGAAAAGTACCTGTAAGCATAAACATATATGCTTCAGCCCATATCCTGCCAAATAATCTGAAAAAATATGAGTCTGTAACATTCCAAAGAATATTTAAAACAGCCTACATAACAGAACAAGCATAATCTTAAAATTAGCATAATTTTGATATATCTACAAGATAGTTCCTAACAGATATGTATTAACTTGCCTTTGTGTAGGCAAAACCCCTTTAACTTCTGGAAGAGAATACACATATTTTAAACTGGTAACTCACATTTATTCACTTTTTGCAGCCAGACTTCTCAAAATTCAACTGATCTTTAAGGAGTCTCATTACCAGTACCTTATTGTAGAACTGTAACATTTTTTTTGATTTAGTGTATACACAGCTGTCCTAAGAGCAAGAACCAGAACCCAAGGCCCCATTACCACAATAAATGCCTCATAGGTTAATGTCCTAACATCTGCCCCATAAAAAAATCTTAATCTCCTATATGCTCTCCAATCAAACTATTTCTTTAACATGCAGGCATCACCGGGAGCATGGAAAGTGCTTCCACTGAAGAAAAGAAGTGCCTGTATTCTGGGGCCTAAAAATCCAGCACCAGGTCCTGGATCCCACCAGAGAAAGAGTCTGGGGACAGGATGACAACACTCCTATAACAGTGCCATCACAGTTACTTTTTAAGGATCTGTCTATGTCTCACTGGATCCTGTACAATGAACAGTGAATCTCTGGAAAGGATGCTGACATTACAGTCACGCTTTTAGTCCTAATAATCCTCCTTTAGCTACATGGAGGCAGCAGGACTGCAAACTGCTGCTGAAATGTCCCCTTGTGATGTCTAAAATACACACATAGATATAGCAGAGCAATTATAAACTCCTCCACTCTATTAAGAGATATGTAAAGCTTGTTTGTCCCTCACAGGTCAGGGACTGTCAGCTTCACTTTGCTTTTAAGGAATGGCACACACATATATTTAAGCAGCTTTCCTAAATTTCTTTAAACTTCTTCAGATGCCAGGGATTTCATTTCCACCAGACAGTACCAGTGGTGCACAATTACCTAGGAGCAGGGAGTTTTAACTAGCAATACCAGTGGTATTTTCACAGGATGTTACCCGCTCCAGAGCACTGTTCCTTCAGCACACACTGTACCTGGAAGCCATCCTGCTCGGGCCGGGTCGGCAGGCTGATGTACGGCACCCGGCACCCTGGGCCTGAGCCCTGCAAGCACAAGAGAAACCACGTGAGCGACCAGCTGGGGAGGGAAGGGATAAAGACCTATCACCATTTATCTGTGCTCTTCATGTATCTCATGTCTTTCAAAATTGCCCATCGACTTCCTGAGAACATGACATGGACTAACATGTGTCTGGGTCTCAATAAAAGAAACAGCAAGGAGAAATTACAATTTCCATTCCAAATACAATGCCAAAAGTCCGTGTTTTGTGCCAGATTCCCTCCTGAATTTCTGCAATGCCATCATTTCTTTTCAAGCCAGATTTCTGGATAGCCAAGTTCAATGCTCTGGAATATTACCAGCTGCAAACCATTTTACAGGACGGAAATTCATTCAGTGAGATGATGCTTTGATCCCTGAACCCCAAATACAGAGTACCCAACAAAGACTGAGTCTGCCATGACAGCAGTGTCTAACAGCAAGCCCCAGGAGAAAGCTCACAGAGGAGTCATAATAATACAGTTTTTTTATACAAAGAAAGAACAAGACAGTTAAGCACTTGAAAAAAGCTTGTTTAACAGCCTCTGACCTCCACAGTGGTGATGGAGCCTCCATTCTGATGTGCTGCTGCTGGCTCCTGCCCTGTCACTACCGTGGGCACTGCATCCGGTGACAATGGAGACACCCCTGGCAAACCATCCGCATCCAGGACAGGCATGGGACTACCAGGGATAATGCCAGCACTTTTAGCTGCCAAGTCAATAGCACCTTGGGTGAGACAAAACACCAAAAAACATATTACAGGCTTCTTCTTCACTTTATTATGATTCTCTAAAAGATGACTTTTTTAAACTTACCCAGAGTCAAAACTCAGCCTATGTAAAAAAGCAGCAATGGTAATGATCTGATCATCTGGGTCAGCTGCTTCTCTGCACCAAGTGTAACATTGCTTTTAGCTAAAATGTTTAACTTTTCTGCCCTGTTCCAACCTCTTACTAGGCATATGAAAATAGCTGAGAAACATCTCAGTTCCCCTCCCATTCTTTTATTTTTTCTTTTTTGTCCTCCAAATTGGTAAGTATTTATGCAATTTCCAGAAATTTCCTGTGGGTTACTAGAGGAGGTCTAGAAACAATAGAGCCTTATTTTGTTATCTTGCCTCTGACAGCCATGTAGACTCTGTGTAAAAATTGTAGGTTGTTGTAAGGGTCAGCCTCACCCAGACCTTTTAAAATCCACTTCAAACATCTGAATGTCTTCTCATCTCAAAAGAATCCTCTAAGTAAAACATAGATGCAGTCACTGTTTTCACCTCATTAATTGTTCTAATTATGGAACCCATTCTCCACTGTGAGACAGTACCTGTCTGGAGGACACCAGCATGGGTTTTATTGCAGAATTCAGAATGACTTACTGGACAGATGGTTGGTGGCCTGTGTTGGAAGAACTTTGGGCACAATTGGACGAGAAACAGCAGCTTTAGTCAGTGAGGACTGGATTGGCCGAAATGAACCTCTCCCTGGGGGAAAGCATTAATACCTTTCAGGCAAATGAAATCTAACACCTTTAAAGCAAAACACAACACAATTCAATGGAAGCAAATAAATTCCAAACAGCAGCAAGCTGCAGGAATGCAAGTAGTGGAGATGATGGAATAGAGCTAAAATAGTGATGTGAGCTAAGCAGTGTCTTGCCACAGACATGCACCAGCAAGTGCTGCTGTGCTGCTCTCATACTGTCCGTGAAGACAACCCTTCAGGTCTCGTGCTGGTTTTCATGGGAGATCACCTGCACTACCACTGTACTCAAGAGTAAACCAGCAGAAAAGGACATATGGGCAGTGGATTGATTATGCTGTATAAAATTTAGACAGTATCCCAGATACTAGGCAAAGGCCAGTATAAAATCTAGATAAATTATTACACCCTACAGAAAAAAAAAATTCCTATCTAAGTATTTTATTCCAAATTTCATCTCCCTGTTGAGAACTCCTTGCTCTTCTGTGATTTCAATCTTGGGAAATGGAAGAAAAAAATTTTATCAAAAGCACAACTTGCTTCACAATGATCCAGGAGAGCAATTCCATCATCCTGAAGGCTAGTGACACTGTCATTTTGAAAGAGTATTTTCTTTTTTTTAGAAATTACTTTTTTATGCAGTTTTAAGGGACACTTTTCAGTTTGTAGAAGTGTTAGACTCACCTGTAATGGATGAGTTGGATAAGATAGAAAAGGAACAGACATGCTGGGACGGATTTCCAGACGGTCTGGGGAGCAGTGTTCTCTGTGTGAGAGAAACAATAAACCAGAACAGATTTAAACAGAGACAGAGAGTAACACTCATTGTATAAATTGCAGGAGTCCATGAGACCTTCCAGAATAGCAGAGTATTTCTGTAGCATTACTATCATGCACCAGACACAGCAATGTGATCAGTGTGCTCTTGAGAAAAAAGCTACAGAAAGGAATGATGTGTTTTCTCTGTGAACTACTAAAATAAAGTATTTCCACATGGAAAATTCTCAGAGAAATGCTGATTAGAACTATAATCCTCTCTGATTATACTTGCTGTGATTTACAAATCTCTCACAGAATTATAGCAGTGATCTTAAGCATGGTACCTAGTCTATGTACAAACTGATCTGCCTTTAGAATTCAGCAAGTGTAGATGAGTGAGACACATGTGTGTACTTGGGAACTCTTAAAACACATGGAATTGCCCCGACCTGAAGATCTCAGGATCAAAAATAGTCCAGGAGTAATTTCTGCATCCCCTACTCTTATACAAAACAGAAGAGAAAAAAATGGTATAGTGACACCTGTGAACTTTTGTTTTCTCCAGTAGGTTACTATTATTTAGGTTTCAGATTTCTTTTTTCTCACCTGCCTCTGGTGTCCCAGTCACATGTGCCTTTTCCCAGGGTTATCAGAGCAGTCTGAAGGAGGGTAATACCCGACTGTCACCAAAGCACCACAACAACCGGCCATTCCTTCCATACATCTTTTTCCAAGTCCCATTTTTTCCCCAAGAATCATTGTTCTTTCAAAGTTTGTTATGGCTTATTTCACTACAGAGGTTTATATCCACCACAGTTTAACATCCACTACTGAGCAGGAAGCAGGAAAAGGACATAAAGGAATATTTTGTAGTTAAGAGGGCTGACAGCACAGAGACAACACTGCCTATACCTCAGTGCCAGAATGCCCAGGTAGCAGAACCTGCTTCCAGGTTTCAGAAGCCTCTTCCAGAGGCTTTTTTATTTCTCCAAACTATCTTGGGCATTGGACTTCTGCTGTTGTTGATATTCTTCACACAGGGAATGTAACATGGCTAGTTACACTAGAGACTGCAAGTGTTTGCTCCTTCATAATTTCAGCTTTATATTTCCAGTGGATGCATGAGGGAAATTCAGGGGTTTTTTTTGTCATGTGCAAATTACTACAGCCTTACTGATACTCAGGGAGCAAAACAGGCATTTACACTTTGCTCTGACCTGTACTACCAGTGGCTTCCGCAAGTGCCTGTTCCGTAACTTCCTGGGCTTCGGAAGGAAGAAGTCCGACTGCATCTGGACAACAACAGAAAATGCATTACAAGTATTTTAAGCATCCAGACACAGAATAAATTATATCCCCCAAATTCTTATTTTCAATAGAGATGAATTAAGAATTAACCAAAATACTATGTTTTGTTTCAGACAGTGCAATATCCTTCCTGCTGGAGTCAGAATATTTTCCACCAAGAATGTATTTTTTTCTTTTTTTATGGAGATGAAGCTTTGTCCCAAACAAGCCATTTCATTACCAACTACTTCAGCTTCCTACGGAATTCTTACTGAGACTGTGTACATAAAAATTAGAATTTGACTTACATACGGCAATGAGGCTGTGTTAAAATTAGCTACACATCAGAAGGGGATAAGGTTTTGCTAAATCTGGCACATATATTTGCTGGAGCAACTCAATTAGACAGCAAATAAGTGTCATCAGGTTGTGTGATGGTATTCAGATTTGACCTGAACAGGTAATGTCAGTTAGAAGCACAGTTACACAGTCAAAATCTCACTCATCTCATTTAATACAATGTTAAACTTAAGCATGGTAAGAAGCACTGCTTCACAAGGCAGCCCATACTTTCTGAGAAATTCAGAATCCTTGTGATACCTCCTGGAAGCTGGCTCATGCACACTATGCTGCATTTCCTGTTCAGTCATCTCACTTACACTGATGGTGTCCAGGTGCTGCCGGAAGGTCAGCTCTTCTTCCTTGCTGGGTAGGAACAGTTTCCCATGGCGGCTGTTGGGGGGCAGGGTTGTGGGCACGGCAAACAGCCCACTGTCGGCCTCAGTGCTCCCAGAGCTTGAAGGACTAGCCACCAAGAGAGGTCTAGGGAGGTTTCTCAAACCTAGAAGATTTTAACAGTAAATTAAATGAAATTAAGTGAAAACAAAAAGGAAGTAACTCTTTAGTAGCTGAAGGATCATAGAGAGCTGGGACTTAAGGATTCAGGCTTTGTCACCAGCTGTTTCCAAAATCAGGAATCCCTCCATATTTCAGTTGTCCCACCTGCAAACTGACAGTATTTACCTGCTATGAATACCACTAGTATTCACTTGCTTTGAAATTCTTGGAAGTATGGGATTAAATGTAATTTCACACTACTTAAGAAACTAGAATTGAAGCCCTGTTTTCAGCCCTGCATAGACTGTGATAATCAGTTTATCTGTTTGGCTTGTAGGCATACCTGAGGGCCTATGCCAGTAAACAAACCATATCTACCATTTCTTATGTAGGGGAAGATAATACAAACACAGAGCCATTTTACAGTGCTTACGATTTATTTACACTCCCCACCACTTCTTTCCCTATAGTAATTTTAAGTACAGCCCCAGTAAAATCGATCTGGTGATAGAGCGGGGATCAATTTACCGAAGACCTTCCCAAAGATGGACTGTTTTCAAAATACATTTGGCACAGTGAAATAAAGGTAACTTGTCTGAGTAAAATTTCCCCATTTATGTTTAAGTTAAAAAAAAAAAAGTGGTAGGATTTCCCTCTGCACACAGCCAGCTTGGATGAAAGCCAGCATTATTAGCCTGTCACTGTGAGGTAGCCAAGATCCACACACACCACAGCACCAGTTAACCTGCTCCTGGGTTCACTGCTTCTCAGAGCAGGGGTGTGAAAAGGACTGCCTAAGAATCACAACTGGTCCCAGTAAGCCAAACACCATCACAAACTTTCCTGAAGTCATAACCATGTGGCAGCAAATGCAACTGGCCTGATGCACAGAACCAAAAGTCTAGGCCTGCATGGCTGGGGCTCACAGGTTACAGCAGCCATATCTCCCATTAAAGGCAATTCACAATCATTCTCTATCTTATAATCATAGAATCACACAACTGGTTTGCTTTGGAAGGGACCTTGAAGCTCATCTCATTCCACTCCCTGCCATGGGCAGGGACACCTTCACTATCTCAGATTGCTCCAAGCCCCATCCAACCTGGCCTTGAACACTGCCTAGCATCCAGGGGCAGACACAACTTCTCTGGGCAACCCGTGCCAGGGCCTCACCACCCTCACAGGGAAGAATTTCTTCCTAATATTTAATTTAAACCTATAGTGGCAGGATAGCGCAGAAAATTTTCGGTAAATATATATCAACAGATTTTACACTGGGCATTTACTTGTGGGTTTTGTAAGCTGATATTTTCTTGAGATAAATGCCAATCAGCATGTACTAGTTCAGGCTGGGAAGGGGTTAATTCTCTTCAGCGGCAGTTTTGGATTTGTGTTGCAAACAGTGCTCCTAACTCAGGGATGCTTTAGTTACTCCTGAGCAGGACTTACACTGGTTAAGGCCTTTGCTGCTCCTCACCCCACACTGCCAGTGAGGGGGCTGGGATGCATGAGGAACTGGAAGGGGACACAGCCAGGACAGCTGATCCCAGCTGACCACAGTGATATCCCACACCATGGAGGGGGTCATGCTTAGCATAAGGAGCTGGGGGAAGAAGGAGGAAGAGGGCGGACATTCAGAGTGAGGGTGTTTGCCTTCCCAAGTTACTGTCTTGGGGATGGTTGAACACCTGCCTGCCCAGGGGAAGCAGGGAACAAATTCCTTGCTCTGCTTTGCATGCACGGCATTTGCTTTCCCTAATAAACTGCTTTTATTTCAAACCATGAGTTCCCTCAGGTTTACTCTTTCAGTTCTCCCCCATTCCACCAGATGCAGACACATGGGGCTGAGTTGCTAGCTGGGATTAAACCATGACACAGCTCCCAAAAAAACCCAAGCATCTTCTCTAAGAGTGACCAAGGAGAGTTCTTCTGGATTGTGAACTGCATTACTGATATGCATTGTTATTCAAGATTCAAAGCAGCACTGGATGGACTTGGGAGAATTCTAAAGCAAATTAGCACACATCAGTGTTCTCAGACAGTGACGTTCGTAAGAGTAAGAGCACTTTTCCTTCCAGTGTTCCATCTCTGGGAAGTTCTCATTATGGTGTGAGGTATTACTAAGTTGATTTCATCAAGTGGATTTTTAGGAATACTCACCTGAGGAGCCGGAAGCAGCACCAGGAGAAAAAGTCTTGTTGCGAAGGGCGGACTGATTCCGCGCGCAGCCGGGACTCCTGGTGTTGATGGCAGTCACCTTTCCCGGGGGAGTCAGGGACTGCTCCTCCTGGGCAGGCTTTATAGGTGATGTGGCAATGGAGCTCATCTCGGGCGTCTGAAAATGCACATTCAATTAGCATTTTGTGCTGGTACAACAAATGTATGGTCAAACTCACTGTACTTAGGAAGACTTAAAATTAAAATCTGACATACTACAATACCTTAAAGTACTGTAAGCAAAACCTCCTAGTGGGTGTGAGGGGGCAGCTGAAATTACCTTCCTGCCCATTTAGCATTGTTGGACTTCACCAATTCAATACATTAATTTATGTTACAATCGGGTTAACACTCAACAAGCTTCACACAAAGTGCTGGATTCACCATGGGATAGAAAGAAAGAAAAAAAACGGTGTTGGCTTTAATTCAGTGCAAAGCTATTTTTCATAAACTCCATACAGAGGGCTGCTCTGGTGAAAAATACATCTGGACAAAAACATTTTAATTCTCTTCATCAAGTAGAGTTTTGAATTTTTTCCTTTCCCTTTTCTTTCACACTGTAACACAGCACTAACAAGAGACACATACGCTTCAATAATTTTACAGGCCTATCCAGTTGTCTCATTAAGTTGTTTAAACTGTTTTCTAGAAAACCCTCCCTTTTTAAGGAATCTATGTGCAATCAGAGGCTTAAAATTGCACCCACTGCCACTGCAATGCCACTTTACAGTTTGTTTTATGCTGATGATTTTCATGTAAAGAATAAACCACAGCACAGCTGGCTGCTTTGGCTGCTACAGATTATCTGGAGAAAACAGCAGGCATGCACACAATCAATCCTTCCTCTTAAAATATCCTGTGGCAAAAATACCATAGTTCCTGTCATTATTTGATGAAATGCAACTTTCAAGACATCTACAGTGCTTTCAGTGAGGCTGTAAGTATCTTCCTGGCCTTTGCAATATCAGTGCCACAATGTTCATGCTTCAAGGAGAGTATGTTTTTCTGAAAAAGTCAGAATAAAGTGGTATTTGACAAATGAAAGGTTGTGCTCCTTTTTTTTTTTTTTCCTGGAATGTACAATATGTTACATATCCTTAAAGAGCTCCTTTATTGTTCAGTAGTACTATGCTACTATAAAACAACCAAGAGTGTGAAAGTGACAGAAAAACACATGCAAATCCTAACTGCTGGTTCCTCGCCCCTCTTCAATTCCTCTCCCCCCAAGTCTCAGGGATGTCCTTCTTTATAGTTTGTGATTGTTTCATCATGTCATGCCTAGCTGTCACCTGTGTCACCAGAAGTAAAAGTCAATGCCAAAGAGGAGACAGCATCCCAGGTCTGTGTGGGATGTCAGACCAAAGGCCTTTGCAGTTCAAATAAAGTCTGTATCTGGAGCTGCATCTGAACAAAGATGGGTTTAAATTTATAAAATCCTTCATTTCATGTCTGCAGATTCAGAATCAAAAGGAACTTTGAGGAGCATTAAATCACCAACAAACAAGGATTAAAGAACTCTGTGTTTGGGAACAGTGATACATTTGCATCCTGGGTGGAACAGAATCATTAGCTCATTGTATCTACCACAGGCCTTTGAGCAGATCTGCTGAACTCTGTGTCTTTTAAAAGATGTTTTACTAAGTTTCAGTTGGCTGCACTAGGTGGAATTCGCTGCCCAGGCATCACTGGGGCAAATCTTAAATACATGTTTACAAAGCACAAGAAGGAAAGCAAGTTCATTCCCTAAGGTATGGGACTGTTGAACAGCTATCCTGGAGTCTGGGAGCTTTTACACAAATCAGCTGAGGCAGGTGAGTTCTATTGACTCTGCTATTCTGAAGAAATACATTCTTTTTGCTCTCACACTGTGTAATTTGAGCTACATAAACACTGAAAATCAATGCAGTTTTCATGTGCAATAATAATATCATCCAGGCTCCATTTCCCACAAAAGGTTGGATTAGATGATCTTCCAAGGCCCCTTCCAACCTGGGCTGTTCTAATGTTCTGTGAATCTGAGAGAGAACAGAAGGCACCTCACCTCACAACTGATCTTTTGAGTAATCACCTTAAATGTTCACTGGAACACCAATGAGACTCACAGCAAACCAGAAGCTAAAAGGCAGCGTAAAAAGCATACTGAAGAGATGTCCACTCTGTAGCCAGCTGTCTTGTGTTGTGTTTTTTGTATAATTTAAATGCAGGAATCTCCAAAGCTCTTGACATGGCTAGTCACCCATTTATTGTGAATGTACAACTGGGCAATTATTCCCCAAATGAAACTAGAGTTTAGTATCTGGAGCATGAACAAGAGCTACTTACTGGTTTGGGATTGACCTCAGTAGAGATGAGTCTCAGAAGGCAATTTAAGAGTCTCTGCTTGTGAAAGGTAGGACATGCAGGGACAGCACTTGACTCAGATGTCTGCTCTCTAGCATGCTGGGTTTCTGGCTCCAAGACAGCCAACCAGTCATATTCCAGCTGCAGCTTGTTCGGTTTGCCCATCATGAGGTAGACTTCAGCCAGTGTAAGGCTCTCAGAGGTTCGCAGACTCCATCCTTCCTCTCTAACTTGTTGGGAGAGCCGGCTTGGGTCATCCTTGAGAGACTTTGTACTGGATTGTCCCTGAGGTGGAGGTGCAAACGAGGAGCCCAGCTTCTCTTGAGAATCCTCCATTACTGCATCCGTGATATCCTTGGTACAAGCATCAAGCTGCTGGCCCTGGCTGTTGCTGGCCTGAGTTTCACATCTGCTGCTGCCAGGGGAAGCTACACTACCTCTCAGTAGCTGGGAACAAGAGTCAGAGGTCTCTGCACTCCTCCTGCTTGGAAAAGCCACTGGAGAAGCATTACGAGCTGCTGAATCAGAGTCCTTCCCATGCAGTTTGTCTGTGCAAGAACATTTCTCTGGGACGATCAAGTCCTGGCAGGACTTCATGTACCGTGGGAATGGATCGAGCAGAGAGAGCTCCTCCACATCAGGGATCTTGCTGCATGCACACTCTGTGCTGCACGAGGGTAGCACACCTGCCTGGTCACCAGCCAGGGCCTCCCTGCCCTCCATGCAGGGGGCCACTGAACTCAGTTTTTCCTGGTGCCCTTCTGGATCCTGAAGTCCAGAAGGTGGTTTCTGGAGGGAATTAGTGCTGCCAAGATTTGAGGCTGTTCCTTCCACCAGGACAGGCTCTGGGGCACCATCTTCAGTGCTTGCAGAAACTTCACCTGTAGGCTGCAAGGTTCTGCTGGGCTCTGTAGTGCTCTCTCCCCTTCCCACACCCTTACCTTCCATCCCCCGCAGGTATTTCAGCTGTCCCCTTGCTGTCCCCTGACCACTCTGTATGCCAAGGATTTGGGCAGGGGGGAGTAAGTGAGAGTCTTTTGTGTTCTGTTTGCATTTGCCCGTTTCCTGCCAATGCACAGTACAGAAGGCCTTGGAATGAACCACTCTGGCTACCCCAGGCAGTGGAGTGATGGTACAGTTCTCTCCTGGAAAGAGATGGAGCATCACTTTCTCCTCTGAGAAGCTGCCTCTTGTTTCAGAGTCTCTGGAGTCTCGAAGCTGCTGTTCTTCAAGTGTTTTACGCTAAAAAAAGATGTGTCAAAGAATGTAACAGTCATCTGCCCCTTCCAAAAAAGCACCTGGAAGTCTATTTTGCAAGTTTAAAAAAAATAAAAGAAAATAAAAGAAAACCTAGCTGATCGAGGATATGTTCTCTATTTGCACAGATTATAGTAAAGACAACTATAATCAGAAATTAGGTCCTTTGTGGTGATAAAGGCTGCAGTGAAGACCTGCTACAAGCCCAAATATCCATTTCAAACAAAATTACCTGTTTCATGTACTACTGTAATTGTAAAAAAAAAAAAAAAATCCCAATCAACAAACCCCAAAAAAACCCAGCAAAACCTCTAACACTGCAAGCAAAGCAGCCTCTCATGAGTGCAGCAAACTCCACCTTACACACTCTGACATCCTTCAGAGTTTCAAGTGCTATGCCACGGCTTCTTCCAGGCTCACAAATTAAACAGAAAAGCCTGAATGAAAGGCCAAAGAAGAGGTTAAAACCTACGAGTCAGAAGGACTATGTTCAGAACAGAACAGCTGTTAACTCACAAATCTTTCTATTGCATGGATCAAAGTTCAGAGGCAGGGACACCATAAATGCTGCATGGCTCAGACAGTGCAGAGATACATTGCAGGTAGCAGCAGCTACCTCCACAAGAAGCTTAAGCCTACATTGGTGAAACTGCACAAAGTGCAAAGATCTGTCCTTAATCTCTTGGCTGAAACTGGAAACAGAATTGTCAGTTATTAGCCAGGCTGTACTGGGGTCACCCACTGATCATGAACCAGACTACGACCACTGTTTGAGGAAATTAAATAAAGGCAGGAACATAATTTTTTCTTAACTAGCTTTTATGGGATCATAACAGAAGAGTTGAGGTAAAAGCAGAACACTATGGGATCTTCCACAAAAGCTTCCATTAGTGATGCTGAGACTTTATCTGCATCTTTACTAATCAGGGACTGGTGCATTTATGAAGCAGATTCACTTTTCCAATGCAAAACTGAACTTGGAATAGGAAGCAAATTTCTCCCAGGACACAGCACATGGAACAGACCGAGTAGGAAAAGGATACAACCCGCACTTCATGTAGAGCCCATTTCTGCTTCAGGAATTCAAGGAGGCTGGAGACCTTCCGATGTAACTCCACAATCATCCTGTAGGCAAGAGAAGCAAAGCAAGGGAACAGAGAACAATTGTCAGCAGGAGCTCCAAGTCCTAACCTTGATGCTAGAAGGGGAATTAAGGAATAAACTGGCATTCTATTAATGCCAGCACAAAGAACACTCTCAAACACTAAGAAAAAAAGCCACAACAAAACAAAAAACATATGCTATCCCACAACTTTAAAATTTAGGTTAACTTACAACTGTGACAATTCACACATTCTAAAAGCCTGTCAGATAAACCTGACTGCCATGATTCAAGAAACTATTTTTTTCCAGACGGAAGAAGACAGGAAAAGATGGCAGGACTTAGCTGAACTGCAAAAGTGCAGGCAAGGCATGAAGCTACTACATAAAGTATAAAAAGAAAGAGAAAAAAGGGCACAAAAGACAAACACCTACTTTTTGAAAGCATTTTACAAAATAAACCTAATGGAGAGAAGAGAATGGATATTTTTATAATCTTTGGTCACTACACTGAAGTGGTGCATTTGAAACAACACTCAACATCACAGAGGCCTCATGTTTGCTGTCCTAAGTTCTGGATTAGATGTTAGTACCAGGATGAACAGCCATTGATGACACTGAACAGCTGCACCAACAGTGATTTGCAAGGGAGAAACTACAAACACCTTCCATGCTACTTTAATCACTGGGTACAGGTGAAACATTCAGAGCCTTGGTGCAGGCACCTCTGACCGCTGTGTATATTCCCTTCTCTCTGTCTATGGTACATGCAATACAAATTTTAGTAGAACCAAGGCTACTATCTCCATTTTACTTGCCCTCTGCTCTGACATTAAGTGGCACAAACTATACTCATCTCCAAAGCTAGCAGCTCCTTCATTACTCAAAAGATATAAAGAACAACGGCAATCTAATTTTCCCACATGATAACTCTCAGACTAAGTACACTTAGGACACCTGCATCATCACAGATCAACTGCACAACTGGCAAAGAGAACCTTGAAGAAAGAGGAAGGGGCTAGGATGCTGCTCATCTATTTCCCTATTCTGAGCACCACAACCAGTTCTCTATTACCTAAGCCGTGGGTTCTGAGCAAGACTCTGCACTCGAGCCCATGCATGGTTATTCCGTGGCTGCAGCTCCACAGGGACCTTGAGGGGAAGTCGTACGGGCTTTTGGTCCTCTTCATCACTCACACCTGAATGGAGATGAAGCACAAAGGGTCAAAGCAAGGACAACTCAGTCACAACACTGTGACTCAGTTACACGATACAAAAGATCAGACACCACCAATCACCTACAGACAACTCAGGCAGCTCAGCTTCACCAATGGAGCCTGCTTCCTTAATTACCTTTTGTTTCAGTATGTTCTTATCCTTAGACACTGTAGTGGTACTGGGGATTCCAGCTGAGCAAGCAGTGTCAAAAATCAGATGTCTGGAAACTTTTGAGCAAGTACAGTATTTCAGACCTTTGAACAGCCTGATTCTACTTACTTGGGAACAGGGAAGTAAACAAAAAACCCAAAATGAAATCATACACAGCTGAATAGGAGAAGGCAAAAAATTTGAAAATGTTCAGTGCTAAACACTATACTACTACTGATTCACTAGTATCTTCACATACAGTGAAAGCAGCAGTGAGCTGGTCTGGTGTGGGTACTTCCTTTCCAAGCTGCTAAGATAACTGTGTGAGTCCTGAAGTTACTGGGGTTACATGAGCAAACAGGCCAAGACAGAATACTATGCCCAGGACAAACATGCAACAGCCCAAATTTCCCTGCCAGTGATGGACACCCCAGAACAAGCCTGCTCACTTTCGATGCTTCCAGCCATCTTCTAGAACACCCTCATGTTCCAGCATCTTTTACTCACCATCTGGATCACAGAGTTTCTTCAAAGCCCTGCACATGGGAGCTTTGATACGCAGGTTTCTGCCTTTGTAACGAACAGTTGTAGCCCTGGATATATGGAAAGAGAAGTACTTAGAGGAACCAGTAACAACCGTATGTGAATACACACCTATCCATCTTAGGCCCTGTCCTCTTCACCATCTTCACTTGGACACAGGACTGGAAGAGATACTAAGCAAGTCTGCAGACGATACAAAACTGGGAGAAGCTGTGGACTCCCCTGAAGGCAGGGAGGCCCTGCAGAGAGAGCTCAACAAATTAAGAGGACTGGGCAATCACCAACCATATGAAGTTCAACAAGGGAAAGTGCTGGATTGTGCACCTGGGATGGGACAACCTTGGATGTATGGACAGACTGGGGAATGAGATGCTGGAGAGCAGTGCTGCAGAAAGGACCTGGGGGTCCTGATCGAGGGCCAGTTGGAGCTGAGTCACCAGTGCCCTGGAGCCAAGGAGGGAAATCCTTGTTCTGGGGGCACCAGGTCCAGCATTGCCAGCCGGGCCAGGGAGGGGATTGTCCTGCTGTGCTCTGCACTGGGGTGGCCTCACCTTGAGTACTGTGTGCAGTTTTGGTCACTACCATATAATAAAGATATTAAACTATTAGAGAATGTCCAAAGGAGGGCAATGAAAATGGTGAAGGGGGAAGCCATATGAGGACTGGGTGAGGGCACTAGGTCTGTTCAGCCTGGAGAAAAGGAGACCGAGGGGAGACCTCCTTCCAGTTGCAACTTCCTCATGAGGGAGAGAGAAGGGGCAGGCACCAATTTCTTCTCTGGGCTGGTTACCAGTGACAGGACTCAAGAAAACGGCCTGAAGTTGTGTCTGGACAGGTGTAGGTTGGATATAAGAAAAAGCTTCTTCCCTCAAGAGTGCTTGGGCACTGAACAGGCTCCCCAGGGCAGTGGTCATAGCACCAACCCTGACAGAGACCAAGAGGACAATGCTCTCAGGCACAGTGTGACTGACTCTTGGTCATGGTGCTGTGCAGGGCTGGAAATTGACCTTGATGATCCCTGTCCCTTCCAACTCAGCTTATTCTGTGATTCTGTGATCAGGGACACAGAGCAAAACACCATCATGGCTACAGGAATGAATACAGAAATGTAAGGGTCTGTGCAAGTTCATGGAGCATTCAGTCTTTCCTATCACCTTATTTTTCATTGTGGAAGCACTACTCTTGTGACTCTCCTCTTCCAGACTTTCATTAAACACTTGGTTGTCCACCCAGGGAGGGACTTCTGTTTTATGAGTGGACCAGGATCATGTTACTTTGGTTCAAGAGTACCCTCACAGACAGCTGCTTCATAAAAGACAAGTGGTTTTGATTTAGTCTTCCCTTTATACTTATGACTCTTAATTATAGGAAGAAAGAGTCTGAGGTCTTTGCAGTTGTTCATTTGGAAAGATGATCACCATATCTAGTGCAGACATGAGGTCTAAGAGCTTGTGCAAAAACCTAAACAAAGTAACTTTTTACAGTATGATTTCACTGGTTTAGTTTCAATATCACTTTAGCAGTTTCAAAGATCCTTATAAGTCAGAGGTCATTTTTGTTTTGCACAAATTTGCAAAAGGGCAGCAGAAGTGCAGGGAGACCTGAGAAGATGGAGCTAATAGGGTGAGCAACACAAAAGTTTCAGTTACTGAACTGTGAATTTCTATAGATTTGGAATATCCCTGGGCTGGAAGGGCAGATTTCTTTTCAACCTAATTCTTGGAAACAAGAATTGTTTGAAGACAGTTGGTCCCACCAAGTCCAACAGTGTAAAGTCTCTGCCAGTGTCTTCCAGTGTAAAGACTCTTAGAGAAGGACACAGAAACCCTTGCTGATATCTAATCAACAAGTGAAGGTAAGGATAAAAGTTAAAACCTCCTCCTGGGCACCTCAGCCTTAGCATGAGACTCCATATCCTCTTGTATTTATCCTTATATTAAAGTGTAGATATGATTTTATCAGAAAATGAGCATTTTGTACAATGATCCTCTTCCCTATTTGTAATCTGTTTTAATACAGCAAATTCTTTTCACTACTTGTGCAAGCTGAGACTCTCCTCCTTGATTTTAGCTAATGCAATTCTTTATCAAATGTGCCCTTGAAGCATGTGAGTGAAGAGTCAGAAATAGCATTATTATTATTATCATCATCATTATTATCTTGACAGTTATAACAGCACAAGTAAGAAAGGGTTTGGGGAGAGAAACATTTTTTATATTAACTGATATTACTATATAAACCAATCAAGTTTTGTACAAATTGTTTCACCACATGAGTGGAAAGTTGTTGAAACAAGAGCCTGCTGCTCAGACGGCCCAGAAGGTTTGATCTGCCTAAAACAGCTGAACTAATGATATAAGAAAAAGAAGAAAGAAGGGCTGTTGTTCATTTTTCATATTTCCTATTTCTGTTCAAGAGCCCAACTAGCTGGTCACAAAGCATTTATTGTTGAGTCAGGCTTCCTGGTATTTGTTTGTGCTCCATTCTGCCACCTGTGCAGGTGGACCTTGGGCTGCAGGTATCCACCACCTGTTACCATGGAGCAATTTATAAATGAACATGGATCAGCATCACAAACTCCTGACTGCATCTCTATCTGTGCTTCAAAGGGCAGAGAGATGAGAAAAAAACAACCCACCCTACCAAAACCTAAGATAAAAGCCAGAAAAGAAGTGTGAAAAATATATTATGGAAAAGTTATTATTTGGAAAAAAAAAAAAAACAAACAACAAAAAAACCAAAAAACAAACAACAAAAAAAAACAAAAAACCAAAAACCAAACAAAACAACAAAACACTAGGAGGAAAACCACATTGGAGGAAACCAAACAACTGCAAACCTACTGATACCTACATGGAGAAGCAGGAACTACTGCCTTCCCTGAGTATAAAATGGCACAATTCAGAAGCCAGCAAGCAAAGTACACCATTCAGTAAACGAAGAAACATCTACTTTAACATTTTGTCATAAATGTGACAAAACATCAAAGACTTCCCATGCAAGTTTTCACCCTGCCACTACACAGCACTCTTCCACAACAACAGTGATCAATGTTATTTTCATGGTTCCATCACACATGCTTTAGAATGTCCCAGCTCCCCACGTTCAGGTGTTCTGCTTCCCCTAATTCCCTTTTCCACTAAGTACGCTTAGCTTCAAGCAATCTAGGACAGAGTCTAAAAAATGACTTGTTATCAAACTAATATAAAAGCAGATATATTTAGACACTATAATTTTCTAATTGAAATCTGTAGCTGGGAGGCTGGAAGAAGACTATTTCTACAAATTTAGGGGACAGCACAGTAGAACAGTCAGTCTGCAACAAAACTACTTTTAGCTTCAAAATCCCTATTTTCTTCTGTTACCTAGATTCTGGATGTCTCCAAAAGCAGAAAATGGTAAGTCTTAGAAAAAGTCACTCTACTGACTATGCATTCAGAATTACCAGTCTGACACCAAGAGCATAACCTGCCTACTTAAAATGGTTTGGTTTATATACTACTTTTTTCAGTATACTAAAATGGTTTGGTTTATATATTATTTTTTCAGTATGAACTGTTATTTTATGATCAAGGTTTTTAGAGAGCTACAGATTTCCCCTCAGCATGCCAAAGAGCTTTCCCAAGGAACTGGAGGACAGTGAAGAATCACTCCTATCCCACACAAAGTACATTCAGAATCTGAACCAGACAGAACAACTAATGCCTGTTAACGGTTTCTGTCTTTCTTACCTTGTGTTATAAAGAGCCTCTCAGGTTGGGGGGTAAAACTACATACACTACAAGACATTGAAGTGTGCTCTGCTTAACTGGTGCACCATTACAATACTTCTTTAATTAGGTGTTTCTTGTGGTTCGGGTTTTTTTTTTAAACTTACCCAAAATTCCTACATATTTACAAAGACATCGAGAAAATATTTGTATTTGTTCATATGTAGTTTTTTATTAAATGTAAAGAGTCTTGCAAAACCTAAGTTAAATAAAAATGCTTCCCTCCTAAAAATGAAACAAAATAACAAACCTTCAGTTTAAGTTTATTTAGTTACTGAGCAGTTCTGCTATACCATTATAAACCTTTTTTTTCTCGTTATACATCCCAAGCAACGACATAATAAATGTGTAGTAAAATTAAAATGCTGTAAAAAAAGTCTTAGCACACAGGACTGGACAGAGAGTGGCCCTGTCTTTCAGCAGCTGGAGCAGGCCACTGTTCTGACTATGCTGAAAGCTCAGAACAGTTACCAAAGCTGACAGAATAATTTTTAGCTCCCTCTTGCATTTATAAAGATGTAAACTGTGATCTATTTTCTGCAAGATTCTCCATTTATTCAACAGCTCCTGTAGCAGTGGCTGTTGACCAGCCTCATTTGCCTGTTTCTGACATTCTGAAGACAAGTAAAGAGATGTACAACAGTGAATAGCCTTAACTCCAACAGCCAAACAGGGATGTGTCACACAGAGACTTTGCCAGTACTTAACAGGGTCAGCTGACTGGAGTTGTCAGGCACTCCTTGGTATCCATGACCTGGGTTATAAACTCAACTAGGAAGCTTTAAAGTATGGTTTTCTTATGAGGCCTTGACAGGGTCATTTGTTTTTCCACACTCCATGAGATTAGTACAAAAACCAGAGATGCAAAACAAGCACTGAATTAGGGCACGTAACTCCAGGGTCAGGATCGTGCTGCAATAAATTGCCAGGTAGCTCCTCACAACCTTTCTTGACTTTTCTTACCAATTAAATGAAGAGAATGTTTACCTACTTAAGGAGCAGATCATCAGAATAATGCATGTTCACATTCCCCATTTTTAATCACTTTGGTTTCACTTTCTTTCACAGCTTTCCTCAGTGACAAGCTTTACAAAGTGCATTGCATTCAGAAGAGGAGTGTCACACTTGAAAGAAACATGTTAGGAACTGGAAAAAAAACTGCTTACAAACAGGGAAGAGGCTCATAGAATTGTACCATCATTGAGCAAGATGAGAAGTTGAACCAACCAAGGTACATGTAACGTGTTTGCTTCTGGGAGCTATGAGGCTGCCCTGCACGTGCCTGGTAATGAAGACACAGTTTGCTCTTCTTCAGCTGATGAGGTTCACCACCAACTGGGGTAAGGGATGCAGGAGAAAAAGGGAAGCAAAAATTGGCCTCCCAGATGTAGACAATGCCTATGCAAAAGCAACTAATTCTGAACTGGTTAATGTTATGTACACCCTAATTTTGGCGTAGAAGACTAGCATTAATACTTTCAAATGCAAAGACTCCTCTTCCCAAAATGGCTTGCTTGTAACAAGACTGGCTTTCATGAAGTAAATACCTAGACTTCACAGAAATCACTAGCCCTCATTAACAATTAATTGGAAGAACTAAAGCTTGAATCATGCAAAGTGATAGGCTGATACTACAGCTCACTAAACATCATCAGGCTCATTTGTTATGCTTTATGTTTGAAAGCCTGTTTGGATAACCCAGTACAAGAAAGGCTCTCTAGTATAGCACAGAGTGACTAAAGGAACTGCTGATACTCTAAACCATAGAGATATTCAGGAAACCACACATGAAGGCTCATCCCAGTTCCACTTTAACTGGTAACTCCAGTTTAAAGAAGTAATTTGCTTTAAGAATAATGCCGTTAAACATATTGTTCATATTTTCCTAATTGTACAAAGCCCAAACCACATGAGAATTTCTCTTCTAATTTAAAACCTTGCAGTTAACAGAAGAATAAACAAGTGATTCAAGCATCACATTGAAGACCATCAACACAAGCACACTGTACAAACAGCATCTCCCAGGAGAGGAAAGATTGTTCAACTCCTAAGAAACTGATCTGGAAACTCCATTTGACAACACGAGAAAGGTACAACACCAAGTATCCATATTTTGCAAGGTAAAGTCAAACGACTGTAGCTGCTGAGGGAGCAAACTCCTGCTCCTGTCTACAGTCAAGTTGACTTCATCAATAACTTGCCTACTACAGTGAACACGCTAAAAGCAAGAATGTAAAAGGTAAAAGCAGACCTGTAACAGAGAGAAAAGAATGATTTTTCAAATCACTTTTAAAGATGGAGTTAAGGACACATCAGTGCCTCCTAAGTAATCACATGCCTTGCTCTTTGAAAGAGATTTCACTTTAAAACACATGAATTCTAAAAGTGGAACTACTTTGGAAAAAATTATACACAAATCAGGCATGCCCTCATTTATAATAATACACAACTTCTAACCCCTTCTGCATTCGAATCACAGACTGCACCCCCAAATCCCACAACACTCTTTAGAAGTGAAAGAGAACGTTCGTTCTTAATGTCAAGGAGATGCAAAAGTCGCTGGAGGGCTGAGGCCTCCAACGTGCTGAAGGGTCATTTCCAGTCTGAAAGTCAGGACTTGTGAGCCCTGCTGAGGTAGAATGGTTGAGACATGAACCCTCACTGCAAGAAGGACATTAAGGGGCTGGAATGTGTGCAGAGATGGGACTGGAGCTGGGGAAAGGTCTGGAGCACAAGTCTGATGAGGAGCAGCTGAAGGAGCTGGGGCGGGGGGCTCAGCCTGGAGAAAAGAAGGTTCAGGTGGAACCTTCTGGCTCTCCACAACTCCCTGACAGGAGGGTGCAGCCAAGTGAGGGTCGGGCTCGGCTCCCCGGATCAAGGGACAGAACAAGAGGAAACAGCCTCAAGTTGTGCCAGGGGAGGTTTAGATGGGATTCTGGGAAAATTTCTGCACTGAAGGGGTGGTCAGGCAGTGGAACAGGCTGCCCAGGGCAGTGGTGGAGTGACCATTCCTGAAGAGATTTAAAAGACCTATGTATGTGGCACTTGGGGACAGGAGTTAGTGGTGGCAGGGCTGAGGTAATGGTTGGACTTGATGATCTTGGATTCCAACCTAAATAATTCTGTGATTCCCCTGAGTGAATCAACATGGTTAAGTGCTGTTTCTTCTGTAAAGAATTCTCATTTAATTATTTTATTAAACTTAACCCATAATTTCTTATTATTATCAACTAATGGCTTCATGGAAAAGGGGAGAAATATCCTAATACAAAACAAACTAAGAATGGAAAACATCAAACTTCAGCTCTTGAAAATTAAAAAATGGCCCAAACTTTGGATGATCAATACAACATCCAATTGAACAACACAGTTTTATGAGTTTTAGGAATGAGTTCTTACTTACCCAGCTTGAATGAGCTCATTGAGTTTAGCTGCGTTCTTGTCATCCATACCTTTCCAGTAAATGAGATAACACAGTGAATTAGGATTTACATTGTTAAACCCGTGGCCTTCTCTATGTCCTGTTAGGTTTCCAAAGCTATTACATTTTATTCTCACATAGGATTAATGTGCATAAATGTGCTGTAACATAGCTCTTCTGTAAAGTTTGTGTTTTCATAACATGCAAGCTTTACATGATTCTTTCCACAAAAATTACTTTTTACACATGGATTAAATAACCCTAGGTACTACAGCCTTTAGCTAGTACAGCCATCTTTGAACATTAGGCTTTCATCTGACAAAAAAAAAAAAAAAAAAAAGTAAAGCTTCTTCCTGCTCAATCTCTGTTACTAACGCAGCAAGGCAGAATGAAACAGCACAGCATCCTAGTGCTTAACACAACAGAAGAGTAAATAAAAATTATAAAATGCATAGGCAGCCCTCACTTTTTTGTATGTATTATAGAGCATGTTTTTAAACAGACATTTTGGTAACTTGATTTATATGACAGTTAGGCCCAGATCTATTGACTGAACAATCAACCTCCCCCTGGCAATGCTAAAAGTATTTCTGGAGCGCTTTCTTGTCTCAATATCTCTCAGTAAGCTTTCTCTATTTCTGTGACTGTGAATACCACAAGAGGAAAAAAGTTGGGGGGCAGGGGGGAAGGAAGAAACTGCTTTCCATGGCTACAGAGCAGACCTGTCATAAATGGGTGTACAGTCTTGCATCGTGAGTACATTTGGTCTTGGAGACAAAAATTTTCTAAGTGACAGTGAGTAAAGTATGTGGCCAAGTCCCAAAGTTCTAGAAAGACAGAAGCACAGAGGTTGCAGGTATTGTCATGGTGACTGTATGAAATCTTACTCCCAGTCATAGCAAGAAGGGTCTGCTTGTAAAAGAGGTGTGGGTATAGGAAAGAAACACCAACACTGATCTCTCCTGACAGTGCAACGTGCCTTGCTTCTGCCCCTGCTTTGTCATCAAACAGCTCAAAATTGCTCTTCCAAGTTGAGCGCTGCTTCTCCAATTAACACACTGGAGATCTTTAAACAAACAGAATAAAGTCAGTATGAACATTCAAAACAGTCGCATTCATTACCTGCTATGACAGCAATCCCAGGTAAGGGAATAACATAGCAAAAAACCTTTCCCAAAATTCCACAATCCTTTTAGGAATTGTACATGTTTACTTGTGAACACTTTCATGTACATTTCACCTTACAACTAGTATGACTTCACACAGAAGTGAAGGTATTTTGATGGTTTTCCATGTCTCATGAATTAAACAAAGCAGGTAGAAGGTGCACTGTAACACTGTGCAAAAAGCCTGGGGACAAATGAAAAAACACATGGATAAAAAGGTGTATGCACACGAACTGGCACGTGTTTCCCTGCCCATTCTTCAAGGCAGTCATGTCACAACTCTCTCTGCCCTGGAAGCCATGAAAACCATGTCCTAGGGCTCATCCCCCCAGTGTGGACAGTAGGGTAAGGTAGGGATCCTCTATTCTACTTAGGTGAGATTCCACCTGCAGCTCTGGGAGTCCCAGCATATGAAACACTTAAAGGAGGCTTAAAAAAAAACACAAGGAAAGACTTTTCAGCAGGGCCTGGAGGGACAGGACAAAGGTTGATGGTTTTAAACCACAGGAGGGGAGACATAAACTACATATAATGAAAACATTTTTTATTACGAGTGTGGGGAGGCTCTGGCACAAGGTGCCCAAAGAAGCTGAGGGTGGCCCATCCCTGGAAATGTTCAAGGCCAGGTTGGATAGGGGTTGGAGCAACTCGGTCTAGCGGAAAGTACCCCTGCCCATGGCAGGGGGTTGGGATAAGATGCTCTTTAAGGTCCCTTCCAATTCAAACCACTCTGTAGCTCTGTGAGCCTAAGCTCAGGTATGTTGCTAATGCAATTAATCAACTGCCAGCAAACAGGGGAGCATTGTTATAGCACACACTCCTCCATCTCCACTCATCAATATGGACAAAACTGGACTCTGGGACTGACAAGGTGAGAACCCATCTTGCTTAGCCAGTGAAGTTATTTCCAATTCTGGTTTGCACCTTTTCATCTTCAGGGTACAGTGAGCAAATATCCCAGATTTTGACTGCATGGGCACAAATAATTGTGGGTGTAAGTAGTATCATTTACACACCTAATTGCTTAGGTTTCAATAATAACAGAATTGATCATCTAAGCTTTGTGTATGTTTTCCTGTCACCTCTGGGCATTACATGCACAGCATTTTGCAGACAGATAAAACTAAACAAATCTATCAAAGTGGACTAATGCAACAGACTAAGAAGGTCTGTAAAAATAAAAATGCTTTTAATGAAGAAATAACACCACAGACTACAGCAATAGTCAAGAACTTAGAAGTGGAACTGAACTAGACACTGCCAACCTCAAGGGTAGTAACTTCTGATTCGATAATGTAAAAACAACCTGAAGTCATTCATACTCACATCCCCCGATCTTTTTCCTTAGTTCCCCATAGCAGATTAAGCCATACAGCTCCAGGGAAGATTTTTTCAGCCCTTGAGAAAACACTAGAAAGCAGAAAAGGTGTCAGTGAGATGCAGGTTGCAGATACACACAGCTACATTGCAGATGCTCATTTCAACACTAAAAAGGAGAGGATTTGTATTTTCAATGAGGAGACAAATCACAAAGGCAAAATTAATTCTGGCTCAAGAAACACTATAATGGGATTGGCTCACCAACTTCCTTTTTATGGCACGTTTTAGATTACAGGAAAACAAAGCAGTCTCCATGGAATTTAAACAAATACGCAACTGCTCAATATGCAAAATAAAGCTAATTCATAACAAAGCTAGGTCTAGTATCAACTGTTTATGAATTCTAAGGGAAATATCCAGATGCCCCCAGTCAAATGCATACAGAACACTTTTACATGAAAATTCAGAGGTAGGTTTGGATTTTCTAGACGACAGATTTTTTGTGCGCACAAAGACACCATAAGAGATTTGACACAAATTCTAGATTCTAAATTTTTACACCAAAAATTGCTGGCATTTTATTCAACTTTGTGAGGGTTTTTTTTTGGTCCTTTCTTTTCAACATACAAGATGTGGACTAACATCTGCCAATAGATCTAAAGATCTACGATAGCAAGGACAGTCTTGTGATTTACAAACCAAGTAAAAATATTTATTCTTGTCTATTCATCAAAACTTTCATTCTCTTTGACCTCAAAATCCAAGCACACATATTTCTACTAATACTAAACCTAATCAAACTACTGCACTGATTGTTAAAATTCCTTCAGACAATGAGATTCTAGACCCCAAAGATACAGATACATAACTGATTTTTATTTTAAAAATTCTTCCATACAGTGTTCACTGCAATACTGGCTTTTAAATAAAATACTAATGGCTTCATCTGAAACTGCTGCCTTGTTTTGAAAAAAGGAACTCCCAAATACACCTTGTGCCAGGTTGTTTAGATACTCAAGTCCTCCTTTAGGTAACCTAAGCTCAGGAACACAGAAGTTCATAAAGAACTATATATCCACAGTATAGTATGTACTATCGCACATGGTGTGGTACTAAGCGTATCGTACACTAGCTTTGCGTTCCTTCAGCTTCTTTCTTGCCATATCCATTTCTCCTTAATGACTTACTTTAATAACTCATTATTTTTAATTTTAAATTATGTTTAGCAAGAACAAGTGCTGGGTCCTGCAGTTTGGTCAAAACTCCCTGCAGCACTACAGGCTGGGGACAGAGCAGCTGGATAACAGCCAAGCAGAAAGGGACCTGGGGGTGCTGACTGAACATGAGCCAGCAGCATTATTGAACCCATGGTACAATTTCAAACTTCTTTGAAGTGGGAGCAAATATGTCACCATTTACACTTGTATCGGACTCTTATTTGTTTCTACCTTCCCCCAAGAACTGCAAAGTGGTGCTGGGTCAGTGTGTTTGATGGAGCCATGCCTGATTAATGTTTAGGCAGTTCTTGAAGGTGTGTTCCTGAGAATACAAAAACATTTCCTTGAACCTGGTTTTCCCCCAGTATTAACAGCAGGATCTGCATTGACTATGTTGTGCTGAATTCACAGAATAGTAGTGATATAAACACCAGGTTTTGAAAAGCATTTTTCACAAAACACGAACCTTGATAGGGCCATGCCAACAAAAATAAGAAGTGAGACACTATGAACTCCCCATTCCTCCTCAGTATTTATTCCCTCACTTCTAAAAGGCAGGACTCCAACCCTTAAACCAAGCCCACGTTGGTGCATACTAACCATTGTCAAAGTCAATGTACTTGGAGATCTTGTGCCAGGTGCGGTAGTAGAAGTGCCGGACCTGCTCCTTGTTCTTCACCATGCTCGCTGGTTTGCCTTTCTTCTTGTATTTCAGGGCAATGTTATTCTGGATAGCTTCAAAATCTTTCCCATGCTGAAGAAAGAAAAAATCAAATAGAAATACTCAAATCCAAACTTGGATCTTGTTGTAAGTCGAGTCAAACAATGTGAGGGGCTTTGGGGTTCTTTGAGGGAAATTGGACTTCAGGGGTCATAAACAAAATTTTTGGGGACCAGAACTCAACTGTGAAAGAATGACACTGGCTTCCTTTGTTTTATATAAAATGCAATATGGATACCAAATTACTTTCCAATTTCTTTAACTGTTTCAAAATGAAAACAGTAAGTTGCTAGCAAATTTTAAAAATCATCCAACTTTACTTACAAATGTGTTAAGTAGCAGGATTGAAAACACTGATTTTTCCCCTGAGCATTCTTTACTTTCCTCTGCATTCCCCCCACCATTTCTGACTAGAGTAAATGAAAAACATACCATATTTACCAGCTGAAGTTTTATTTACAGTACATTTCATGTTACTGTTACTAGGAGTAAAAAATTTGAGTTTCAAAAGATTTGATTTTATACACATTAACTGCTGCTATGACAAAATTTTTGTATTCAGAAAAGTTTGGAACTGATTTCAATACAAAGTATGAAAACCTCTTCTGAAAGGCAATGCCACAAAATGAATGGTAGACGGGACTGAACAAACTGAGTCTCAGATCCACCTTCAAACAATTTTTTAAAATTTTTCCTTACTATTCAAAAAAAGTCAGTGAAGTGGCTTAAAAATTACTTGCTTCCCAGAAATATTACTGCAATTCAGAGGAGTTAAAAAAAAGAAAATGCTGTTTATGTGTTCCTTTTGTCCACAAAACATGTGTATGTGATACCATACCTATGGGAACAAAGAATAATTCAAAAAGAATCACATGTACAAAGAAAACTCCTCATCACTGCTTTTGTTTTTACATTTGGCACATAGTTTCAAAACAGATAGGCTGTTGAAATAATCACAGGAACAGGACAAGCAGGAATCCATCATATACATAATAAGAGACAGAAGATAAGATGATGTAACTTTTTCTTGTCTCTCAGCCCAAGGACTCAACTGGCTCTAGCCTCATCAGGGCCAAAGATTAAACACAATTCTCTTTAGAACAGAGCAACTTTTCTTGTTTGGTATTATTACAGAGCAAGTGTGTTGCTTTTGAAAGTTCAGAGGGGGACATTATTTAATGATTTCTCACTTGAAGTAGAACCATAATTAAATAACAACTGAACTTGCTATAAACATTTATTAATAAAACTCAGAAATCTTTCCTGTATATTTAAAGAAAAAAAAACCCCAAGAAACTTGACACTTTTGACACATGGCTTTGACTGACAGCTGTTTCACAGCCTCATGTATGGCCCTGCAAATGCTCATCTGTAAGGGGCCTTCTGCTCCTGCCAATCTCACCCTATTCAACCTTCTTTAGGAATATCCAGACTCTAACCAAAGCCATCTGTGTCTGTTATTTTCTTCTACATGTACCTCATACAGTCCCTCAAAGAAAGTATTCTTGTCCTCCGTGCTCCATGACTCCCACTGCCGTCGGACTTTCTTCCCTTCTTCCTTCTCTCCTGCCGAGGAACCCAGGTTCCTTGCTGCTGACTTGGAATTCCCAGTAGGATTGCTGGGAGGAATTCCTGATGTGCCACCAGGTGCAGTCCCTCCATTATCTGCTGCTGTAAGAAACCATGACCAGAGTAAACATTAAACCAACAGGAGGATTCATGGATAGAGGTAAGGGAGTAACTCAGAATTTTCTCCCTTTTCACTTGAAATACAAAGGGCAAATAATGAGGTTCATTTTATAGGAATACAATCTCAAAGCACAAAAAAACAAGAGGAAGATTTCAATGGCTTAATTTTTTTATTTCCAGAAGTAACACAGATAAGCAGGAATGTACCACAGCATCCTCTACCAGATAACTCTTGCTCATGCTTATATGGTGGTGAGCTCTGCAGTCACTGCCCTGCAGCCAGGGGGATCTCCTGAGCAGGGAGCAAAGTGATGTGCATGAGGAAAATAGGCAGAACGGTGACATCCCTGTCTTTGGTTTGATCCTGCTGCCTCCAGAATGACTGTGGAAAGGGAAGGATTGAGAGATGTCGACTTTAGTTCATCACACAATGATAGATCAGCATTTCCACAATCTGACCCCAGTGTATGATCCTCAGAGCACCACGTCTGACATGGCCCATCTAGTAAAACTCCAGCTATCCAAAGGACAGCGAGTCTCAACCCATTCTCCTTTCCCAAATCCTGCTGTGGCTTTCAGAAAAAGGCACAGAGGTGTAATCTTGCTTGTCCCTTTGTCAGTTATCAGCATCCAAAGAACATGGAAAAAGAGGTATGAAGAAATGAGGATAATGCTGGATAAAACTGAGAGAATTTGCTGTTCACTCAAGTAGGGACCTGGAATGAAAACGGGATGGAAAATCTATAAACAAAACATTATGCCTGGTTTGACACTGTATACCAGAGTGCTAATCCAGAAATGAAGGTAAACTCCCCAAAATGCATTAATGTTTTTCTGTAAAAATATAAACATTCCCAGTAACTTATATTTCCAAAATAAATTATCTTCAATTTTATTTTAAAAAATTATTTAGGATTTGACTGTCCTTATTGATGCAAACATGTACTTAATAAATCAGAAGTCTTTTAACACTAAACATTGCTCATTTATAAAGAATGCTCATTACACTTTTCTTTTCTCCAGTTACTGGCCTTTACATTTTGTGTTTTACCTCATGATATATTCATTTGCTTGCCGTAGTTTATTTGCTTATACACCCAGCTTGTACAGTACAGCGGTCCCAACCGGTTTCCCTAACTTTTATATATATATCAACATAATTCTCTCATATTTAGGCTTAAAAAGTTCAGTTATCTTTTCAAACCCAACTTCATGAAGCAGGTTTTTTTACCTGACAAAGACAGTGCTTTTTATATATATATATACATACATATATATCCCACTCAAGGACCCAGAGATCCCACTTTGACAATTCTAACAGTATTTTTTTTTAAGTATCAGTAGAATCAGCTGTTACAGGCCCACTATGCTTTAGAGGTTTAAAGACTTGTATGTAAATCTTAACAAGTCAGTTGCAATTTGAAAGTAATTCCTTTGGGCAACAAAATAATATTTCTCCAAATCCTACAGAAGGTGGTTTGCACAAGTGATGGAGAATATTTGAAATCAAACCTGGAAGAGAGCAAGATGTGTGAAAGTACATTTTTTTCATGCATACAATAAATATTTACTTGATGTAAAATATGATATTGTGACTATTTTGAAGTTAATGTTTCTTTTATTTCTAGGGATGACTATTTGACTCTTGAAAAAAAATCACTGTCTACCACAGGGAAGCATGTGAGGCAAGACATGAAAAATCATTACAAATCTCAAAGAAAATACACTTATAAACAACTTCTCAAATAAACAGCTTCTTTACTTCTTAAGTCTTCAGCCACTGATAAAATAATTGAAACTTAAGCCATTTAATTCTGGCACTGTGGAGGTAAATCCTTTAAAAAAAGGAAACCACAAGAAAAAAACTGAGCACTTTAACAGATGGCTGATAAGAAACCCAACACAGATATAGAGCTGACACTTCCTCATTCTGCAAAGTGAGATTGGAATACCACAATTTGCACTGCAATGAAATACAGATCTTTGGTCAAGAAGGGGAAAGTCAAACATGTCAGTCCCCAAACTCCAGTCTCCAATCTCCTGTTGCTACCAGCTCCCAACACAGAGGATGTCCTTTATCAGAAGACAGGTACAGGATTTCAGTCCAGAGTCACTATTCTGATCACAGATCCCTAGCTACTGAGAAATCCTTCAGAGGAACACTGAATGCAGGATTTGGGGGTTCCATTTGTGTGCTGGGTAGTTGGTTTTTGTTTGGGGTTTCTGGGGGCGAGGGGTTATTTTTTTTTTAATCCTTACTCAAGTAAATAAAATCCTAAGCAAGTTGCTTGAAAAACAGATCTTATCAAGGATTTTCTAAAGATTGTTCAGTACACTTGGTACACATAAAGTTTTCCTTATTAAAAAGCATAACAAGCTAAAGTGTCAGTGAAGATTTTATGGTCTTATTAGAATTTAAAGTTCAGTTAATTTTCATTTACATTTTAGTTGTAGGTAAAAGATGGACTGAAGAGTTCTATCAGACATGCTGAGGACTCCATGAATTCAACTTCTACAAAGGACATGTAGCTCATAATTGATCTTTTGTTCCTTTATGCACACTTACTATTCCACAAGACATACTGTACTCCTGGGAATTTTATCAGAATCTTTTTTGTTTTAAACTCTTATAAATGACCATCCAATTGTTCAGAGTATTGTATATGAAAATCTGAATATCCTGTCACCTCTACAGAGCTCTTACATGCCATTCAATTTTTTCAGGAACAAAGGCATTTGCTCTATCATTTCTCTTTGCATAAACTTTCTTACTACTGTGCATGGTAATATTTATCGTTGTGTTATCCCAATCCAACTCAGAGTATACCGAACCTTGGTAGGCAAGGGAATGTACTATATTCTAAACCAAAGAACTATAGACCAGTCATACAATTACTCCCCATAAATTCATTACTTCAATCTTACTGTATGCAATTCTTGTTACATACAGAACAGCTAATGAGCTTTCATTCCCTCACTAATTATTGATGATTCTATAATTAATTCCCAGTAATGGATGATTTAAAACTTCATCAGTGCCTTAAAACAAGAAGCTCCCCTGAGGCCAGCTATACCATTACTGCTGCAGAATGCTGTGGAGAAGGAGTGGGCTCACTCTAACAACCTGCTGGGGTGTTTGTTCAATGTAAAATAATTTATAGGAAAGACAAACTGGACATTCTCCCACTGTCTACTTATCTTGCATCTCCCACCCAGTGATGCAGACATCCACACCATTACAGCTATAACAACTCCTTCCCTTCGCTCCCGGTGCGCCAGAGCACCAGCACCTGTGTACAAGGCAGTTCATTTGGATTTGTAAGTTCCCAGCATCTTCCCTCAGCCTCCAACACAGTTTGCAAAGACTTCAGGTTTTTGTACTCAGTATTTGAACTGCAACACCCAACAAAATCATGGGTCAGAACACCAGTGTTCCAGAGAAACTTATTCATTCCTTTTGTCCAGTGTTCTCTACCCATCTTTATGTCCCATTATTATAACATCATTTATCTGTGACTGGCATACTACCATATCAAACTACATTCCCATGGAAAAAGCTGTCTCTGCAGTTCAAAGCAAAACACAAACACTTGCAAAAATTTATATAAAGACATTTAAAAACTGCAGTTCCAGCATCTGACATGAAAATGACAAACAATGGAATACACATGGTTAAAATAACAGACACTGATATTATCAGGATCTCATAGTGACTACCGCCACAACTTCTTCCTTCTAGGTAGCATCTCAGAATTTGCCTTTCAGTCTTCCATTGACAGCTCTTACAGGCCAGCTGATTCATATCTTCTGTGACAGATTACACACACAGAAGCTGAAATCCCCAGAGTAAATTCTCACTACACCCTTTTATCCTAACATGCAGGCTGGGTTACAGGCTTAGCTCACAACATCTTAACTTCTTCAGGAGTCATCAGTCACTGCAGGTGGAGCATTCATTTGGGAATACCTTTATAAACAAGATGGGGCATTCACACTCTTGCCTGCTACAGTTCAAATACCAAATGCAAGGACTAACTCACTCCACAAAGTGTGGGATGCAAATGTCAACTTGTAACAGACAAGTTCCCCACAAGTCAATGCTTCATTTTGCTAACTTTGTAACTGGAAAGGAAGTTTCCACCCTGCCTTCACAGAACACAGCAGGGACACTTGAGAAGGGCGAGTCTAGAACAGCTTATGTCTTACAGCAGGGTTATGCCATATAGTATTCTTGCAAATTAGCACCCAAAGTTTGTACCACAGACTCACAGAATATTTTGAGTGGGAAGGGACCCGCTAGGATTATGGAGTCCAGCTCTTACATGAATGGCCCATACAGGAACTGAAGCTGTGACCGTGGCACTCTTAGTACCATGCTCTAACCAACTCAGCTAATCTCAGGCTCAGCTGGTAACTGTCCTACAGAGACAACCTTCTCCTGTCTTCTCCTAACTGCTACTAGTTAGAAAATTAGAGACAGTTGAATGAGTTAAAAGCATACAGAGTGTTAACTGTCAGTCTGAGCCTTCTAACAAACCTACAGCAAAGGCTTGCTTCTCTCTATGGACAGGATCTGTTTAGTACACAAGTATCAAAGGCAGCACTATCTGAGCTAACCCAGAAGAGCTATATAAAACCCCCCACGGTTTATTACACATTTGGTCACTCACACATCTCCTGTAAATCACTATTCTCTTGCCCTTCCCAAAGAAAACACCCAAAGGCTCAGTATAAAGCTCCACTTAACCCTGCGGCCATGCAGCCTTGCAGGCAGGCACCTGTCATAGCTCAGTACCTAATGCACAGAAGGAGAAAATCCTCCTCTTGCTGTATGGATGAGATACTGGGGAGTCCCGGTCCAGAGCCACTTCGAAAGGGAGAGAGGGAGAACTGGTGTAAATGGGACAGCAAAGAATGAATCATGTCAGGGTAAGATGGAAGGAGAGGTACTAAGTGCAAGTGAGACGGACAGAATTAAGGAGAATGTTAGAACAATGGACTTTGCCAGTAGTTTTTAAACAGTGGTTTGTGTCCCAGAGAAATGATGCTGGAGGAGTAACATCTCAAATGATGGTTACAATATATTCTGCAACACATGAACTCAGGAAGTTACAACAGAACACATTGCAAGTACATACATCAGGTTTTTTGGTATCTATATCCTCTCTACAGAAGACAGTAGTTGATTTAACCCACATGCTACCAAACATGAAACTTTGGCATGCTGAAACAAACCAGACTGCTTTTTAGCAAGTTCTATACCATGCCAAAAGACAGAACACTTTAATTCAACTAAGCTTTCAGCTGAATAAGTTCTTTGTCAAAAAAGAACTGATTGGTACCTCAAAACAAACACAAATACTTGTTTGAGACATTCTACACATTTTAGGAATAAATCCAGAGCAACATGAAAGACATCTTCAAGCTCATCACCATTAGGCTAGTCCTCCTGACTTCATTCTGCATTCAGAAGATGGATAAAAACACAAAAATGGCAACACTCTACTCTAGTTCAAGCTACATCAACAGCACATTGTGGCCATGTATTCCGATGCACCTTTTACCAACGTGGTCACAACATACACACACACATATTCCACCCACTGGCTTCACAGACCAAAGCCTCAAACACACTTTAACACCTGTGCTCAGCAACCGTGTGGCATACTGGTATTTGAGAAGCAAACTCTCAGAAATTCCTCTTTCTCAGCAATCTTAACTTGATCTGCATCTCCTCCCTGCAGACCTCCCTACATTGGAACTACCTCAATAAACTGTCTCGACACCACTAGTCCTTCTAGTTTCTGTATGGTTTCATGCAAGTTACTTGAAGACTTCCTTTCAAGCTTTCATGCTTCAAAAGTCATCCATCAGTTGAGGCGTAGACTACAACCTTGAAAATACAATTAAAAGGTGATTAACAGAGTACGATAATAATTCTAAAAAAAAATGTAGATATTTAGATATTTGTGCAGGAAATTTGTTAAACCTTCCCACAATTCCAAATGGATAGGCTACTGAAGTGAATACAGTTTCCAAACTGTATTTTACTGTCCTACTTCCTATGTAATTTTTGCCCTAAACTCAAAAGTGCACCTCAGTACAGAAAAGGCAAGAGACAGGATTCAAAGGTGCAATTAAAGAGTACATCAGGGCAATGTGACTATTAGCATCATGTTTACACACTCCACGAGGCAGAACTTGGGAATTATTATGAGCAAGCTTCCCAGAATCACAGTAAGATAAAGTTGAAAAGTCAGCAGCTGCTGAGTGGGCACACTCTTTTTACAGTTTACAGCCAAGTGTATCAATAATTTGTCTGCTACAATTAAGGACCCTAAAAGCATGAATGCCAAAAATAAAAAGGAATTTGCAATACACAAAAAAAATTACTACTTTCAAAACTTTTCTGAAGACAAATCAATGCCCGCTGAGCAACTACAATTTGAAAGAAAGTGCATTGATCACACTCCTTAAAAATTGGCAAGTGAGAGTCTTCCTTTCAGAACACAGAGGTTCTAGAAATAGAATCACTTCAATAAAATGTTAAGGGTTACACAGCATTATTGAATGCCTATGACAAAAACAAGCTTCTGGTTTCACTGGACCGAGCCTAGATGTGGTCTGGTCACCCCAGCTGGCCACTGTCAGAGTCACTTGTGCAGCCATCACCTTGACTTTGACGTAAACAATGCAAAAGCTTCCAGGTTCAGAGCTGATGCGCTCCAGCTTTTCATCGTTTTTATACTTCCAGAGGGACGAGAAAGTTAGTGGGACAGCTAATGAAAGGATTTAAGTCCAATCTATATTAGTCATCTGCACCTTTCCATTCGTTCCCTATCAGAAGCTGGCTCTGTGAGACACTTCGCTCGGAACACAGAGCACTATGAATTCTGATCACAAGGCATTCCACTAGGGAGAATTTAGACAGGCCTGGAAAACCTCTTTTCAGGTTTCTCTGAACATAAAGAACTCAAATCAGAAAGGATCCCCCTCCATGGCTCTGTTGTCCAAAATCTAACAATTATAATCTCAACCATATCAGATAATTCAATCAATCGGACATATTCACACCAAATCTGGCCAGGCAGAGCTGTGGCTGGTCTTAAAATTGAAAAAGTGAAAGCACAGTCATAATTCCACCACTGTCACTCCTGATGAATGTAAGAAGTTCTCCCAGACCTGACAACGTGGTACAGTGATTGCAAGCACTATCCATGACTGCTTACTGAGTTAATATTTTCTGTTCTGTATGTAATTTTCTTATGTTTGTTTTGGAATTTGAATTACAAAAGTCAATGAAATTTTTCCTATTCTGTGGATATTCTTAGTTAAAAATCATTCTGCTGCTCTAGAATTCGAAATAAATGTTCATATACAAACATGAATATACACTTACACAAACACATGTATTTGTTCACACATGTGTGGACTTTCAAATCAATGGAATAATTTCAAATGGACATATTCAATTTGTGAATCATAGACAAGATGTATTTCAAAGAAACACCTTCTCACATCTAATACTATTTACAATCCTGGAATTAATTATACATAGCTAAACACTCCTGGGTATTCCATTTGTTTGTTTGTTTATTTGGTTTCATGCAACTGGAAGAAAAATTATGTAGGCCTTTCTGTTCTGTCCTCTACCACCACACAGAGCTTTCATTTAACATTCAAGAGATTAAAGAGGACTTACTAAGGTATTTAGAAATATTTTAGTCAATTATACCAACCGTCAAGCAACTGAGTTCAAGAACATTTTTCTGATATAACAATACCTAAAATATCCCAATTTGCACTGCTTTATTACTGCAACACAAAACTATTGTAACTGCAATGCTTACTTAATGCCCAGCATGTGCACACCCCTGAGATGGACAAGAGTGAGGTAACCTCCAAGACACATTTATGCTACATGGAATTATACTCCAATTTAGCAGACAAGAGTAAATTTCATTATTTTAAATGTTGATGCAATCTCTTGAGTGCTGTTTTTCTCAAAAATTAACAGAAAATAACACTTCAGTACTTTAGCACATGATATCCAAAATTAGGCTCAAGTACAGCTCAACTGCAGCGCTGAGATGTCATCAGTCACTGCTGAGCACACACAATAGCACCAAAATATTTAAATATCCCTGCTGCCTTCCAGTTATTCAAGTTAGAAACAGTGCCAAAAAAAAAAATCAAATCCTTATCCCCAGTGCTAAGCAGAAAAGCAGGTGTATGTACATCTGTACCTACAAACTTTCAAATGTATACAAACAAACCTTAATAAAAACTCAAATCACATAGATGCTCAAACTGTTGTGAAACAGGACTCCCAACACCTTAGGGAAAAATATGTCAATATGTGTATTTCATTGCTGTCTCCAAAATAATTATTTGGCTAATAGAAATAACTGGCGGAAATCACCAATGTCTTGTGGGTGGGATTTTTCCTATGCTAACTAGCACCCAGTGAATATTTTGTTACTATCCAAGAACAGAATTCAGAGTGCAGCCACTTGATTACACAGTTAGCTAGAGTCTGATTTTCTAATCAAAATAGAGGAATTTCCCAAAACTCAAGAGAGATGAAATAAAGACATTAAAGATTTGCTTCAATAATGTAGAATTTTTCCTCCTCCACACAAATACCCAGACCCCCCATTTCTGGAAGTGCAGAGAGGACAGTGGGCAGCAGAGAAGCTGAAGCCTTGGGACACAAAGAAGATTCCAGCCATGAGAAACAAGCCCCAAAACACCTTCCCAAAACCAAACAAAAGATAGCATCAACAGAAAGAGAATGACAACCCACAGCCCCACAGGTGCCTCCCCTCTTTGCCATCCCCCTTCCCTGCATGTTTTTAGGATGTCAAAACACGGTACCTTTGCCTTTCCCGGCAGCGCTGCTGCCAACCGAGGAGGATGCCTGGGAATCCTTCTTCAGTCTCTTGCTCTGAGGTCTGACACTGGACCTGAGAAAATGATGCTGGTCTTGGCTCTGGGAGGGCTGGAGAGTGGCAGGGGCCGGTGACAAGCTGGGGTTCGGTGGGGGGCTGCTGGTAGTGTTGCTGTTAATGATCTTCTCTTCTTTCTTTGTGCTGCTGCTGCCTGGAGCTGCCTCTCCTCCTCCTCCTCCTGCCCCTTCTTCTTCCAGGGACTCCTCATCTCCTCCTGCTCTCTTGCCCAGCTTTTTCACCCCTTCCTCCCCGCTGCTCTCTCCCAGTTTCACTGTCATCCTGCGAGGGAGGAGAGGGAGAAAAGAGGGGGCAACACAGTCAGGCCAGGGAGCCCCCCGGGGAGGCAGAGAAACCCCTGGGCTGAGAGGGGAGAAGTTTAGCTGCAGAAATTCCTCTCAACATGGCCGCCGTTGTTTGTTACTAAATCCCCTTTCGTTTGCTGTCCCGACCCAACAACCTGTGCCGAGGGTGGGAGGGGGAAAGCCCCACCACAACCCCTCCCAAACCGGCCCAAACGGCAGCCAGGGGCCCCCGGTAGCCCCCCGTCTCCGTCCCGAAGAGCTCCGGGCCGCCTTTGGCCGAGAAATCGCCCGGCCAAACTCGGGCGTGTGGCAGCGCTCGCCAGCGCCGGAGGAGCGGCAGCCGCTGGGCCGGCGGAGCCGAACGGAGCGGGGAAGTGCTGCTCCGCCATCCCATCCCATCCCATCCCAACCCATCCCAACCCATCCCTCCGCGGCTCCCGGGCCCGGGGCTCTCCTCTCTCCTCACCGCGGAGCCGCAGCCCGGCCCGCCGCGGGGGGGGGATCCATGATCCTGGATGCGGCGGTGGCTTCTCCTCCTCTGTGTGTTTGTCTGGGGCTGGGACTGGCCGAGGCTCCCGAGGTTCCCGCTCCCCTCCGCCCCCACCCCGCACCTCCCCGCACTCCTTTCCGCCGGGCAGCCCCGACCCCGCCGCCCCCGCCGATGGCAGCACCGTGGGCCGGGTCTGTTCTATCACCGGGAACGGGCAGGGACCGGCTCCCCAGGCCAGCACCCCTGCCCGCCGCCTCTGCTGGGAGAGAATTAAAGCCACGCCACTTTTTCCCCTTTTTTCTTTTTTCTTTTTTCCCCCCAATTTGGAGGACAATAAACTTCAGATGCACCTACGGCGGTTGTGCACCATTGCCTCGTTGCTCCTGACCATGCAGAGACCCCGGCCAAGCAGGGCAGCCCTGAACTCTTGTGCCAAGAGAGCATCCCTGGGCTTTCAAAGGCATCTATCAACTTTCGGACCTGACATTGGGACCAGTTGCTAGGATGACCACTTCCTGTGCTGACTTCACAAATCCTCTCAATTCTGAAGGCTTTTTTCAAACACTTGGAACAAAACGTCAGATATGGACACAAGATTAAGGCATTAATCACATTATCTGTTAAAACCCAACAACTGCTTTAGTTTTTCCTAAAGAGTGTAAAAACATTACTGATAGCATATCTAAAAGAAGTCAACTTCCAGCAAAGAACCAGTTAGAGCACCCAGCAAGGAGCAGCACTTGGGATGCAGCTGCCTTGACACCATGGCAGGAGCCACCATCCAACTTTCCTCTAGGGAAAAGATAACCAACACGAGGAGGAAATTCTGAATATCACAAACACTGGAATCACTACATATTAGGCTGACGCCAGGATAACGAGGTTCAAATTAACGAAGATGCATCAACATGATATGGCATACAAATTCATCAAGTTACTACTTATGAGTTGTATTCTTACTATTAAAATTATATTTTTCCCTCTAATTTTCAGCTAAAACACTGAACCCATCCAGAACTGTGTTGGGCAACGTTTCGCTCCTTGAAAATGCTCAATAAACTGATCTGAATGGTGGAGCTAAACTCACACTGAAATTTGGTTATTTATTCACCTGACAGGTCCCTAATTATAGACTGGTTCTTCACTCACCAAAACCTACAGTTTCTAGTTATTCTGAGGACAGAACTAGTCCCATTCTTACAGTGTGTGCTCAAAAACTTTGCATAAGCAAGTTTGGTTTTATTACTGCAAATGAAACGATGCACCCACCCACTGGCCTCCCCCAACAGTTAGCGGGGGAGAAACAAAGACACACTCCTTGGGGACAGCTCCTTACAGGACCCGAGTAGCACACCCCAGGATCTGCCCCGCTTCTCAACTGCTGGCTCCTTCCAACATTCTGCCTAAGCTGTGCAGTTTCCCGTTATAGCTGCTTTCTCCTTTCGTTTTCACCTTCTTCCTCCTTTCCCTTTTTCTCCTAAACTGAAAATTTCTTCATCCTAGCTGCTTTAGTCGTCTACACCCTCGTGGCCGTCCCTCCGCTGCCTCCCGTAAGAGCCGCAGAGACGCGTTCCCCAAGCGCGGCCGGCCCGGATGGGCAAGCAGGGCCGGCCCGGTCTCCCCAGGGCCAGGTGCGTCCCGCCCCGCGGGCTCCATCCCCCGCCCCTTCCTCACCTGCCGCATCAATGCCGTCACGCAGCCTCCGCGCTCCGGCTCCTCCGCCGGCGGCTGCCTCGGCTGCTCCGGCACCCACAGCTCCAGGCACCTCCGGGCTGCGCCCACACCCGCCAGCTCCGGAGGCGGCCGGCGCGGAGCCCAGCGGCCCTCCCAGTTTTGCTGGCGGCGGCAGAGCCGCTCGCGGCTGTGGGGCCGACCTCTTCCCCGGGCTGCTCCGAAACCCAGCCGCGGTCCCAGCGCCGCCAGCCTCGGCCGGGCTCGGGGCCGCGCTGGGATCGGGCCGGGCTGGGGCCGTGGGGGTTCCGCTTCCTCCTCACCCTGTCCGGGCCGGGGGCGGGGCCGCGGCGCGCGGGCCCAGCTGAGAGCGCCGGCGCTCCCCGCCCCCCAAGCAACGCGCTCCATTGGCCGGCGGCGAGCGGGAGAGAGGCGGGGGCGGGGCTACGGCTCCAGCGCGAGCCAAACAAAGCGGGGCGCGTGACGAAAGCTCCGCGCGGAGGAAGAGGCGGCAGCGCGTGTCTGCTAAGGGCCAGGGTGAATCCCGAGATCTGGCTGCCGATTGGCTGAAAGAAAAGCCAATGGAGAGCCATCTAGCTGAGGCCTTTGGACGGGGTCCAGCATTCCATTGGTCAGGGAGCGAGTGATTTGCATGCGGCGCAGTATTTCCGGCTGCCGGGCGGCGGCGCTGCTGTCTCGCGCGGTCCCCGGCGGTCTCGGCGGCCTGGCGGGGCTGCGCTGCGCTCGGCCTGGGCCGGCGGTGCCGCTGGTGCTCGCTGCCTTCGCCGGGAAAGCCGTGGGGCCGCTCTCCCTGGGGCAGCTGGGGCGTTCATGGAGCGCACTTGGGAACAGACGTCCCCCCTGAGGCCCTTCGCTGGATCTGAGTTTGCTGCTGGGCATTCTTCTCGCAGTGGGGGCTCCTTGATGTGGACTGATACTTCTGTGTGGTGACTTCACGTTAACTGCTAAGCAGGATAATTTTTTAAAATCTTATAACTGATACTTGTCTCTTAATAACGTGTTTCTGGAAAGAACATTAGATCAGCCTCTTTTTTTAATCTTTATGATTTTCATAAAGATTAAGAGGAAAGGGTGCCTTAGTCCTCTTCCAAGGAAAATATTTGTAAGCTTAGAAATAAAGTCCTAAGTAGTTAAACCTCATGATGGTGTCAAAATTCTGGAAAATTGGCCTCCCGGGGAGTATGTTGCAAGTAATTATGATGGTAGAAATGTAACATGTCTTGAGTACTGTGTTGTCACCTGTAAATGTGCTGTAAAGTGTATTTGTGAGCAACCAAGTGGACTGCTCTAAATGGAATTTGTTAAAAAAGGTTTGTCTCCAGTGATGAGACTTGCATTTAAATCTGCATCTTAATTGTCTGGGTTTTTTTTAAGAAAATATTTTCCAACTTTGTTATAATCTCGCACGAGATCATGTGGCGTATTTTTCCTCCTTGGCCTCAACCAAATTCAGCAATACTGTTAGAAAATGGATTCTGTATCTCCACTACCATGTATTTCCATAGTGCTTTGCCGAGAGATGTGCAGTTGTGTTCAGCTCTCCAGCTGAAGGTTTCCATTCTCTGTATGTAAATAACTTTCCCTGCTTGAATAGCCTCATTGCCTTCAGTGAACTGTTAAGGTGTGAAATTGCTCGTGTGTCTAAATGTTTGTGAGAGAAAAACTGACTGAAAAGGAGTTGGACAAGAGCTGAGAGGCAGGGGGTAGGGTGAGATGCCAAGAGACACATGAGCTTCCATTTGTTCGGTTTTGATCCCTGGCCCTTCCTCACTAGTCTGTTTTTACAGACCTGCACAGCCCACAAAATGCAAGTAATCTTCCAGTGTTTGTTGTCATGGTTTTCTAGGTCAGGCAAGAATATTAACTTGGATTTGTCCCACATCCTGTGTATTTTAAGGTATGAATAACAAATTGCATTTTTACTAGAAAATAGAGCAAGCAATGCAGAACTGTTCAGCAGAAGGACAAAGTTAATCCTTTAGGTTTGTTAATTTTTTTTTAAATTTTGAATCTAATGTGCACGATCATTGCAAATTATAACATGGAAATACTTTTTCAAAGATCCTAGGTGTAAAAGCCACCAATATAGTGAAAGTTCTCTATTTTCCTTTTAGATTATTTAGAAGTTAGCAGATTTCATTAATATTTTATTTCTTCTTAAAAGGCTCTGAAATTGTTTATTCTGGCAGACAATAATGGATGATCTTTGTGTTGCTAAAGCAGTTCTTTCCCATGCATGTAAGAGGATTTAAATGGAAGGACTGCTATTGTTAATCTCTTATTGCTTACAGAATAAGGAAGCACCTAGTCATGCAACTTTGTTTTCTTCTTGGTGTGTGAGGTCAAGCCCTTAAGGGAAGGGAGGAAATGGGCTGTGAGCAACTGCAGCCAGTCCTGGGACTTAAGGGATTTGGAGCTGTTAGGTGTCTTTTATGATACCAGAGACTTGGAACTAGATGTTTTTTAAAGCCCCTTTCAATCCAAACCATTCTGTGGTTATGTGATTTTATGAGTAGAGGGGAAGATGTTAAGATCCTAGGGGTCCACATTCACTTGTTTATTTGTCATAGAAGCAGGGCTTCTCTGTCGAATATTGAAGGGCAGGAAAACTTCATTTCCAGCTAAGGCTGCACAAGTAGGAATATGTAGTTTAGTTATGGGAGAAAATTAGTATGTAACATTGAACCAGCCAATTCTGAGAGCTGTAAAGTGGTCACTTGGGGAGAGACAGTCGATGGATTGTTTAGACTCTTTTTATTCCAGCCCAGAAAGGGATGATGGACTTGATGATTTTTTGAGGCTCCAGCTGGCTGTATGTTTCTGACTTGAGTGTATCATGTAGTTGCAGTAGTTTCCACGACAGCCTGGTTGTCTGAGAAAACAAGGCATCTGCACACGGTCTGTTCAACTCCTCAACTTGTAGTCTGATGAACTCAAGGCTGCAGTGAGAACAATTGGCTGGGCAGAGGCAAGAAATTAATTTCTGACTCTGGGAGTGGCACCTGAGCGAGCTAACTGGGCTATTGCATGTTCAAGGAATCCACCACAAAGGGATGGCATAAATGACTGTTAGAGCTGATGCCTTGTAGAGGGAGAGGATAAAAAGCTCCAGGAAACAGGACTTTGTCAGTTCTGTAGCTCTGGTCTGTGTGAGTTGCTGACTTGTAACAAGGTCTAAAGCCAGTGTTTTACCTGAACACTGCCCATCATTCTAGCAGATGTACAGTGTGTTTCAATGTACTGTGTGCCTCTCACTGGGTACTTTTTCCTACTTGCTACCAAAACAGAGGGGTTTTTTTGTTTTGTTTTGTTGTTTTTTTTTTTTGTTTGTTTGTTTGTTTTGGTGGTTTTTGTTATCTTTGTTTTTTGGTGGGTTTTTTGTTTCACTGTTTGTTAGTTTTATGGTTTGGTTTTGTTGGGTTTTTTTTTGTTGTTGTTGTTGTTTGTTTTTTTTTTTTTTTTTTGTTTTTTTTGGGGGGTTTTTTTTTTTTTTTTTTTTTTGGGGTTTTTTTTTTTTTTTTTGTTGTTTTTTTTTTTTTTTTTTTTGTTTTTTGTTTTTTTTTTTTTTTGGTTGTTTTTTTTTTTTTTTCCACAAGAGTCCCTGCGTATTTGGGAAAGGAAACTGATAAGCACTACATAAATGACACATTACACATGGCCAGTCAGCCTCGAAATACGCAGGAGCTGCTTTTCATCAGCTTGCACAAAAAGTGTTGTGACTTCAGAGGAATTACAAATAACTATGGGCAGGACAGTGCTGTGGGGATTCGGTCTTGAGTTTTTTCAACCTTTTTGAAGGTGTTAGGCAAACCTGGCCCTTGGGCCTGGCTGCAGGCCCAGTGGGGCAAGAGCTGGGGCTGGGCTGTGCCTGGCGGGGTTGTAGGTGGCTGGGGAGGTGCAGGGCGGTAGGAGGGCTTTACGGGTTGTGCTTATTTAGATGTTGTTAGCAAGACTTAGTTGTTAAGTTAAAAATCTTTCACCCCAAAACTCTGAAAGAGCCGCTGAGCTCCGGGCGGTACAATTAAATATGGTTACGGTATGGGTTTGTAGATCACGGAGGTTCAGCTGGGTCACACTCCCTCACAGCAGGTGCTTGACAGCGTTGGGGACCAGGAGGGTTTGGGGAATGATCTCGATTCTCGGGACGGCGGCACAGTCCATCACCTGCGGTAGAAGTTCCTCACAGGTCAAGCCACCAAACCCCGAAGACGCCTCTGAAACCTTCGGGGACAGCGCAGCGGCGCCGCCGCCGGACCCGCTGCGCTCGTCACTTTCCGCCACTCTTCGTGTGCCGCCGGACGGTTTCGGCCGTTCCCGCCACTCCTCGGCTCCGCTCGGCTGTTTCCGCTCGCGGCTCGCCCCGTTGTCGGGGTAACGCAAAGCATCGCGGAGTGAGTGCGGCCTGCGGCGCGGGCGGTGAGCGCGGGGGCGGCAGGGAGGGCGCGGGCGCTGCCGGGGGGCGGGGAGAGCGGGCGGCGGGCTCTACCCGCAGCAGCCCGCGGCGTGCCGGCCGGCTCTCCGTGGTTGGGTCTGGGCCCGGCCCGCGACAGCGGGGTTGATCGCGGTCGGCCGGAGGTAAGGGGCGCTTGAGCTGCTGGTGGCGGGGGCGGGGCGGCCGAATCCGCCCGCAGGCGAGATCGTGATGGCGTGGCCCGCGTGTTTGGCTTCTCGGAGCCGTGAAGTTTGTGGAGCCCCTTGTTCTGTGCCGGCGAGTGGCGATCACGGCCCTGGCGAGGGACGCGCGCAGGGTTCGGCCCGCTCCAGGAGCAGCCTGGGCTCTGCCTGGCGCAGGCTCCCCACCCCTTCTCCCTCTGTGTGGGTGCAGGATTCAACATTCAACCGGGCTTTTACTTCATCTGTCTTGCTAGCTAGAGAAGATTCTACATAGTCATTAACCATCTTTTTGTAGCACAGAGCAATTTTGTTTGGTTTTTTTTTTTTTGGTTTTTTTGGTTTTTTTTTTTTTTTTTTCTGGGGCTGGCTCTTTTAAACAATTTCAAATTTAGAAACCAGCATTTCTCATAGGTAGAGATTAAAGGAAAGACCTTTGTCTTTGCTTTGGTAACTTGAGCCTTGCTGGAGAGTCTTGTTAAGGCAACTTGGACAGAGACCCCTTTC